CTCATTTCTGCAGCAATTTGGAAGGCTCTTCCGGTGTCCCACATTGTACGAACATTCCATGTACCTAAATAAATGGTTGCTCTGGTTGTCAGAAGTGGCATCGGCCTCGTAACTTCCGAAGGAATTCGGCTTTCATCATGAGGCGTCATAATTCTTCTAAATGAAGACCTTCTGATTCACCGGGCAGAGTTTAAAAGGTTTGAATAATTTTTTCCAGTTAGCATTTTTTAGTGAGCTAGTTTTCTACGGGATGGGATCGCTAACGCCATGCCCAACCGTCCTCCTTTATCCGGTCTTGGGACCGGCAGTAGCCCCCCGAGGGACTCCAGGCGGAGTTCTTCATCGACTAAGTGTCAAGTTATTTCGTTGTTTCGAGCTGTGGGACATTTTATTCACAGGTTTTTAGGAATTCGCTCAGACATATAAAAATGTTATGATATATTTCAATACGAATACTGTTATAAACAGCTTGTGAAAACTAAAGAAATAAATACGAATTCTTATTACTCTGCGTCAATCATTGTTTTATTCAGGTTATGAGTTACTTTTGCTTATCCATAATCTATAATTTTATTGTGAGTCGAGTACTCAGGGGAGGGCTGTTAATAAAACAGAGATTATGCAAAAACAGGAGGGAATACGATTGATCTCCTGTATAAACGGAAGCACAAGACATTTTGATTTGTTGTAATTTCAAACTAGTGATCACCTGAATTAGGAGAAATAATCAGTGCAGAAGATTGAGGTAGTGTGAAACGATGAGGAAGATGAAAAGCAGGACTTTTAGTGAGGTTTTGAACATTCAAAACCGTAATGAAACAAAGGGTACTATAACAAATGGAGAGTAATTATTTTTTTGTGGAGGGGGGCGGAAGTACATACTCCCAGTTCAGAAAAAATAAGTTTTCTAACATCAATTTGTGCAGGTTGCTTGTGAATATGTCAAGCACATGTTTCTGAAGTTAATAAAATGTTACAGAACCTAATTACAATTTCAACATTCATCCCAACTTTATTTCGGAACATTTAATGAAAGTTTATTGAAGTAAACATTTAGAACCTATGCTGTACAGTGATTTTGAAATTTCATCACTTAGTTTCTAATATTAAGGAAACATGATTCGTCAAGAATGATTGATTTTAATGTAATAAAATGATTTATCACTGTATATCAAAAAATGTATAACACATTTATGTTTAAGATTAATTTAAAATAACATTTGTATATCCCATTTACCTGTTGAACATATTTACATCAATGATTCGTTCATCTCTTTACTATAAAAAAGTATAATGATTTAGCCAACTATTCATTACATTTTGTATACGATTCATTCTTCCTAAAAAATTATTTTACTATAATATAACAAATTCTCATTAAATATCAGTTATGTTACAAAATATGTATTGTCTAATTTAGATGGGATAATACTTATTTAACAGTATATTTTTGGTTATACTAAAGTATTCCCAACATTTAACATTTGGAAGCATTTTACCTTACTTCTTACTTACTCCTGTTACCCCTCGTGGAGGAGCATAGGCCGCCAACCAGCATAGCATTTACTTATCTTAAATATTCTTTCAGTTGGTGAACATTAGGAATAAACCTATCTAAACAATAGCTAGTTACAGTTTATTGATATTCACAGAAGTTTATAAACAATTCATCTTCTCTGATACATTTTCTTTTCGCATTTTATATATTTGATACATGAATTCCAATATGATCAAAACTTGTTTCGACAGTGAATAGAAAGAGAAAATATACATACAACTGTGGTAATGTTAAATAGTAATTAAAAATCTCACTGAAATTTCTTAATATTTATTTATCGTGAAGTGAATATTTCTTTTCAATCACATAGTGAAGTCTTGATGGTGTTTGTCAAATAGCAACGCTAAAGGTACATTATGCATATCACAAAGTTCTGTTATAAATATTAAGGATTGGATTCTATGGTAATCAGTTTGATAGTTTTTTGATATTACACGCAAACTTAGTTTGATAAATTTGATGCCCACATTAATCTTGTAAATAATCAACAGGTAATACTCTTTAATGCATCTTTAATGCCAAAACTACTTGGTCAAACTGAAGATAAACAACTAGTACATGAAGGGAAAAAGTATTTCATCATGCTGTCTTTACAATATGAATTATAGTATATTAATAAACGTATCTATAGGCTGGACATCAAATAAGGCTGATCGAAGTATGCAGAAAGTAAGAACAGATGGATTTTTCTTCATAAGCCCGATAAACTATTCTAATTATCTAACAATTATCTTAAGAAATATTGTTGAAAAACTTATATAAATGTGGTCAAAACGCATTCCTCTAGTACAGAATTTTTTAGATTCAATACTTATGTTGACTAATTAACCAGTAATACTAATTATGGATGCAAATAATGTTTTAGCATTATCAGAATTATTTTCGTTATTTAGAAACGGTTTTTATGCGATAAAAATTCTTAAAGTCGATAAAATAAATCACATATCTTTCTGGAATAATAGTATGAACACAAAAAATGTGATGAAGTGTTTGTATGAAGAATAGAAAACAATATCATTATATACTTTAAAGGCTGACCAAACAGCAACTAAGTATTTTGTTTTAAAATTACTTACTAATATCATGTGGCAAGCCACCAATCACAATTCTAATTTTAATTGCTGTGCATTCTGTGTCTACTATTGCCTCTATAGCTTAGTGTCTCCAATTTGACCAGTCGTACGCCCTACCAGCACTACTGACCTTGAGCCGATGCAGTTAAGTTCCTACTAGGCCGTCATTCTCAAGCTTCTGAGTTATGCCTTGAGTAGAAAATTCAACAGCAAACCTTTACTATACTTATATTTCTAACAAATGTGAATTACATACAGACATAGTGGACTGCGTCATGCCATAAAATACAAAATAACAACAGTATATTGACGAGCCAGGTGGCTGTGAATATGGAAAATATGAATAGGAAAAAATTAAGAATAATAAGTCATATTATAGTAATTTATGGGTTACGCGAACGCTTATGATAAACATACATATACATAGTAATCCAGTTACCCCGTAATCGCACGAAGAAGTTATGATTAATAATAATTCGACAACCAGTTTCAACTGTTACAATATTCGTCCCTCTATAACAACAAACATAAAACTGAGTCCTATTTATATCTTCGTTTAATTATAGTAACTATTAAACATAAGAACGTCGAGATTTACACTACTGTAGTGTGTTATTAGTGTAGACAGGCGACCGCAGTAGAAATTACTTTTGAACCTAATGAAATAGATATTAGAAAATCCATAAGCACAAATCTTCAGTGATGTTTCAGAGTATATCTAAATGAAAATTTATTTTGTTCGCATAGTTAATAAAAAGGATTATGGTAAACCCATTCCGAGTCAGTTGAAAGTAAGATACTATTGTTGGAAATATAAAGTCATTTGATCGTCTTAAATAAATAATTATGAAACTTTTTACTGATTAAAGATAAAAACCTGTATCTAATAAGACGTTATTCAGTTTTGTAATAAAAATGTGACTAACTCAACAAACAAGTCAACATTTCTGTAACCAAGACGATGCGTGGAAGACTCGACTGTTGGTACGCAAGTTGGGAAGCAATGAACATGCACGTTATACTGACCATATATTGCTAAAGTTACCTCGAGAGCTCAGTTTCGAGGAGACGGTAGTGCAACTGTCAGAGACATTCGGTGAGTCATCCTCATTGTTTAGTATTCGATATCGGTGTCTAAATTTGGTGAAACGCTAAGCCGATGAATATGGCGTTCTAGCAGACATCGTCAACAGAATGTGAACGGTTCAAGTTACGCTCGTTGACAGATGACCAACTTAAATGCTTAATATTCATCAAAGCTCTTCAGTCACCACAAGATGCTGAGATCAGGACTAGACTTTTGGCTCGACTGGATCAAGACCCAAACGTCACACTCAGAACATTGACAGATGAGTGTAAGCGGCTACAAAGCATCAGACACAACAACGAGTTGATTGAACAGGCAAATCCTAACTTAACCTGCAGTAGTGTCAATGCTATTACTAGGTTAAAGGTTCAGAAGCCAATAACAACTCATAACAAACCAACGATTGCATGCTGGTTATGTGGTGAGTGGCATTATGTACGATTCTGTCCATTTAAGAAGCATAAATGTCAGGTGTGCAACAAACATGGACATAAAGACGGTCATTGTCCACCGAATCGTACGTCGCGGCCCAAGAAGAAGCGTAAGCGTCCTCCTAACACCAGATCCTACGAATCTGCTCATAGGGGAGGTGTTAGCGGGACATAGACTGGATTTAAGCATGCTCAATTGCTTTGGTGCACGCTGATTGGCTAATTCTTATCCAATCAGCACTAGTCGATAGTTGGAGAATACTCTAGAATCTTCTCATGTTAAAACCATAAATATACTAACGTTTTCTCTATTGTGCTTCTTACTTCCATCTAAATTTGTTATTTGGAATATAATCTCTTTCCTGTCCAACAGTGTTCTGATTTGGGGACTTGTCGAGTGAATCGGTGTCCGAGAATACTAAGCAATAGGAATAGCTGGGTCATAACTGTAAGAAAGAGATTATAACACAGTGGTACCCTGCGACTTGGTATTTTATTCGTAAATCAGAATGAAATTACGTGCATAACGACTATACACGTAGTCTTCTAATGGAAGTTTAGGAAAGTTGGGATTTCTATGAGTCATCAGTCATGTGAAAAAGTACAGTAACCTGGTAGTTACATATATTGTTAGTAGTGTAGATGGCTTAAGATACATCAATCCAATTTAAAGTCTTTGAAAAATTTTAATGAGATAAGTGGATGTGCTGAAAACTAATACATGCTAGATTCATGTCTTGTTTAGTGCCACGCATTTGACAACAATATTATAGACCCTAACCACTACCATTAACATGCTTCAACGGGCCAAATGTAGTAATCATATATTTTCAACAAAAAACTAACCCATTCAACAAGCGAAGTTCCACTATATATATTTATATACATCTGGAAGCAAAGTAACACAGATAGTTTCACAAACAAACAAAACTACACACTAATGAAACGTACGACTGACAACGTTGGTCAGTTAAACAAATAAAAATTTCTAAAGATTTACACGGAGCAGAAAAGTATAGGCATAAAATATAAATATATATGTGTTGTTTATAATCAGAAGAAATTCATTCACCTGAAAGTGAAAAAAAACAGACATTATTGTTAGAGAAAAAATAAGAAATCTGTTGAAAAGTGTGAAAAGGTTAAACGTAAACTAGATGACAGAATAAAATAGTATAGATCAGGAAAGAATCAAGGAAAGGAACAAGAATACTCAACACTGAACCTCGGATTAAAAAACGTTATCTATAATCTAATTTCTATAGGACATTAAATAGAAAAATTATCACAGTCTGACTGAAAAAGAGATACAATGTAAAGAAAAAAAGAGACTTAAAAAAATTTTGAAGAACAATGTGACAAGAAACGAGAGAGATTCGCTGGGAATTACTTTGTTCTCACCTGACAAACACAATGTTACATGGAAAGTTGTGAAACAGGTAATCCCATTTAATTACTTACATTATTCTTAGCTGTAAAGTAAACGACGAGAAAAAACAAGTTCTATACACACCTGATGATCGTTATAGAAAATATATATGTATATATACACTCCTCTTGTTTCTTCCTTTCTGTAATTGCACACAAGCAGCGTTTAAACAATGCGATAGAAAGAAAATAGAGCACCTAGTTATAGAATCTACGAAGAGAAAAAACAGAAGAAAAACAACCCAGAGGGGGTGAAAGAAAATATCGTCTTTGCACAAAACAAAATTCTGGACATTGGAGTTATTATTATCACCAACATTAGGAATATGATACCGACTGATTAGCCAGGTGTTAGTTTGACTTTATTTTGAATAGGTAATGGATGTGCTTCAGAATTGAACACCCATCTATCAAGCGGTAATAATGTATCTTCTGAAAAGATTAAATAAAGGTATTTCAGTGTTTCTGCTAAGAAATATGACTGCTGAACATCATCTAAAGTAGAGTTAGTAGAGTAAACGTCATGTAAACCAGAATAGCCAGCATTTGTACGAGCATACTTTTCAATAGCCTGAAACAATAAACGCATAGCAAAAAACATTAAAGACCAAATAAATAAAATTAAACGACTAAAAGAGAAATATGCATCACAGTCATTACAATTGGTCGATCACTAAGAAGAGATTACTGTTGTATGTGCCTGGTCCTGTAAATAGTAATTAGATTCTACTGAAGAAGTTGCGATGTGGAAGTTAGTATAGGTGCTTTAAAATCACGTGAATTTTACCGAGATTTTGGATGGTTGAAGGTAGTCAACAGGAAACCCCGGAATCCGACGGGAACTGGTGCTCTCAACGAGATTCATAACCCGGCCAGTTTTCTTAGGATATGAAGATGGTTCTAATCCCACAGACAGCATCAGGATTAGATGTACGCCTTTCTCATTAGTACCAGCCAGTCAGCTACAACGTAGGACCAGGCACATAAATGCACCGGTCCAAGATGTCACACATCATTAGCACAACAACATCAACAAAGTCATTGAACCACTTATTTCAATGATAGTAAAATATATGAAAAAAGATTGAATATAAGGATATGATGCAATGAGAAAGAATTAGGTTGTAGAAAGAAAGGTATAGTAATTTTATTCTCACGGTTTAAAGGAAGACAGAGAGTGCATACACCTACACCTCTCTCATCGGTTCTGAGCAATGTCACAGTCTCCAACCAACGGTTTTAAGACAATTACGAGGATCTCAACAGAGAAGTCTGCATTTACCAGCATGGCTCAGACTAGAAGTTAGCGACTTTGTGGAATGATTTCATGTCAGCATTGCGCGTAGTGGTAATCGGTGTTTAGTTACACGTAACACGTGGCCCAACCATCACAGTCCATGAAAATTCACAACCTCACAAACCGATTTACTATCATTCCCTAATACTATGAGTATCACCTCACCATTACTTACTCGATGATCCCAGCAGATGTGGGCAATATTTCTAAGACATCAGTGACAAAATACTAGTAACTTACGAGTATTATCTACCCTTAATAGTCACGTATCGCAGACATAAAGTAAAACGAAACGAACAGTTGACAAAGTCTGAACAACCTTTTTGAATCCGTGTAGAGATTTCATCAGACATCAACCAATCAGGGTTGGTCAGACTTCCAACATAATTGAAGTCGTCGACGGGTTCGCTATTTCTCTCCCTATCCTTAGTTCAGGTGTTGATGTAGGCCAGTACCAACTAGTAGAAAACCAAGATTTAGGGTTTCTCGTCAAAGAAGTTCGACCACTTTACGTATTGATATAATGTAAAATTATTTAGTAGGATAAAGTAATCATCTAAAGCATTAGATCAGCTCTACGGAGATGGAAGCCAGTTTTTTTTTCATATTTTAATTGTTGCAGGTCGGAGCAGATAACAGTATATATAATAAAAAAGCTCTTGAAGGGATTATTAAACTCTTTCGAATCAAGATTTGATAAATCATCACTGATAGATTATTTTAAAAAAGTGGTGCATTCAACCATGAACTAATTATATTTACGAGGCATTCGAATTTCCTAAGTGAATGTACAAACAGATCCTATTTTATATTCCAGAGGATTTAACAGTGAAAAAACTAATTTAAACAAATATTTACTACTTATAATTTTAAATAAGACCATCCACTACCAATTTATGATAATTCTGTACGAGTTAAAAACCAAGATTTTGTGGGCCTATCAAAGCCATAAGGTTGATGAAGTTCAATTGAATTCAACGTGGTTAGCAAATAAATAAATAATAGTAATCATTTCCAGTTTCTTGTCAATTACAGATATATGAAATCCGTTTTTTTTTACAATATTCGTGTAAGGGTTAATCATACTACCCGATTGATTAGACAGAATTAGATGGTACGACTTTCAGATTTAATGAGTCAAAACCAAGTGTTTTAATGACTGAGCTATTCGCTTAGTTAATCGGCTAATTACTATCGAACTACAATACAAAGAAAATCCTGTTACGTTCTATCAGAATAATAGTTATCGTCAGAAAACGAGAGAAAGAATATAAAGTTCACAATGAAATAATTGCATGACTAAGTTATGGTAGATAACTTTTTTCATTCAAACTTATCAGAATATCTTATTTGTATTTCTTGTCAATATAATATTTAAAATTATGTAATAAAAAAAACTGATAGGTTAGCAGCAAATAACTTTATGATTGAAAATTATTGTATATATTTTTTAAGTTCTTTTCAGTCATCGAGTTTAGCATTTAGAGAATATGCATGATGACATTTACGAAATTTGCATTGTGCCTGGTATATATGTAATTCATTACGAGAAGCTACAATGTCTTCTGATATTACTAGATTAGAGATGAGTTCATTTAAATAAGGCTGAGATAAGCATACTCTTTGAAAATGTATCATCTGATAATTTGAAGAAACGACGGAAAAGAGTTAATAATTTATGCCAAATTTTATAATCACCACAGCTACCTGAACTACATCCCATGCCCAAACACGATACTTTGGATCTTTAGTTAGTCGCCATAAATAGAAATATGATTCCACTGTTTCTGGTCGCAGAAGATACACTTTGTGAGATTGAGTAATCGCAACAGCAGAAGACTGATCAGTAAATGAAAATGTTTCTGGACCAAGACCTGTTGATGCACTATCGTAACTTCTTCTACAAGTATCGGTAATTTCAACACCACGTTGAAACCATGGATCATTTTTATCTGATGCACCGAGAGAGAGCATACCGCCTACATAATAAAAACAATAATAGAGTAATTAACAATAATCAACACCATAAGATCAGAAACTAAGGAGCATTAATTCACGAAGTATCAATATTAAGATCCCTGAATATTTACATCAGTCTATCAAATAAATACAAGAACTGATATCATACAAATGTCACTGTACAAATTCTTAGTATACCAATCTTAGAACCTTATTCTCATTAATGGCAATACGACTGTTTCATCTCAACTTCTATTACTTGAAAAAATTATTGATATTTCTCAGAAATCAAGTTCTTCAGTTGTTTTGTCATTTCAAGTCCGTATCGTTAAACCTCGCATGTATATTTCCGGTCTTAGTAACGAAAAGAAATTGTTGAAAGCTCAACCTGGTGAGTAGTAAGGTGATTGAATTCAGGTTATAGACTATAAGATAACCACTGCTAAATGTGAAGGAGAATCGAGGTGATCTAACAAATATTTCGATAATGTACTTAGAAGACGAAGATTATCAGAACTATGTGATATATTAGCGCAATACATTTCGAACAATCTGATCATACATATACTTGTTAAGAGCATTTATATATAAAAATAAATGGTCAACTAGACTGGAAACGGGGTAAGAAGAGATAAGAATAATGATAAGAGTAACAATAATAATAATAATAATAATAATAATAATAATAATAATAATAACAGTTCGTAACCTAATCACTCTGAATAATAAGTCAATATTACCAGGGTAGGTTTAAGGTAAGAACAAACTGTTTTTGAACACACAAAGGGGGTTTGAATTTTCGTATGGCTAAGGCTTCAATAAACCTTAGTATACGCCCTTTTACACTTTTATGCAATAACACAAAAGCTGAGTTTAGATCAATCTTGTGACCTGTTTCAATTATATGTTTAGCAATAGAGGATAAATGTTAATAGAAAATGGCTATCCTCTGAAAATCATAAACAGATGGAAAGTTCATGGTATAGCGAGACTTACTGTAGCCTCGGTAGAGAAAAAGCCTGTCTACATCACCTTACCGTTCAGAGGTGATTCAAATAGCCTTTTATTGAAACAAAGACTTAAATCAGTCATCAATAAAACGTATTGCGCAGCAAAGGTTATCATCAAAGAAAGAACAAGGTGCATGCTTCATTCAAAACCTAAAAGACATGAAAACGATTGTGTCACATCCCACTGTGTTTACCAATCTAAATGTGTGTGTTGTCACACATACACAGGGAGGAGCAATCGTGATCTCAACATTAGGGTGAGTGAACATGTACCCAAATGGTTGCAGAAACAAATAGAGTCAAGTGACCCAATAAAAGCAGAGGATAAACATCCATCGTCATCTATTGCTAAACATATAATTGAAACAGGTCACAAGATTAAAAAGAATAATATATTTGAAAAATCTCAGCGAATGAATTTTAAGTAAATCCAACGTTTCGCCTGGCAATCTGGTCCAAGCTTTTTCAAGGAAAATATAATCAAACAACAAAATTATCGAATATAAATAGGTACAAGGTTCTACGGTTTACTGTATACTGAATAAGTCATCCAATCAACGTGAAGGATTTTTTTTATAAATAGGTACTGGCATTATTTTATATAAAAATGAAAATAATATGAAAAATAATAAAGGTCAACCAAATAAAAGTTCATTTGAAAATAATCAAGGGGAGAGAAAGAATAAGAAATTGTCGCGTTATCCTAGGGCATAGAATGACTTAAGGATCACAAGGTAAATTCAAGGTTATGACAAATTGTTTTTGTTCACATAAGGACAACGTATGTGTTATGGAACCAAAACGTGTTAAGATAACAGAAAGTGTTTATACGCAAGTGATGTGAGAAGAAATTTCATTCAACTAAATATTGATCTAAACTCAGCTTTTGTGTTATTGCATAAAAGTGTAAAAGGGCGTATACTAAGGTTTATTGAAGCCTTAGCCATACGAAAATTCAAACCCCCTTTGTGTGTTCAAAAACAGTTTGTTCTTACCTTAAACCTACCCTGGTAATATTGACTTATTATTCAGAGTGATTAGGTTACGAACTGTTATTATTATTATTATTATTATTATTATTATTATTATTATTATTATTATTATTATTATTATTATTGTTACTCTTATCATTATTCTTATCTCTTCTTACCCCGTTTCCAGTCTAGTTGACCATTTATTTTTATATATAAATGCTCTTAACAAGTATATGTATGATCAGATTGTTCGAAATGTATTGCGCTAATATATCACATAGTTCTGATAATCTTCGTCTTCTAATTACATTATCGAAATTGTTTTAACAAATATTTCTCATTTGTTAATATTCAAATGTTAATCAGTAAATAAATAAAAAAAACCCAGTTGATACTTACCAACAAAGCAAGCCAGATGACTCATTGAATTGGAAATAGTGCCATACTTGTAATTGCCAACATAAAGTAAATTATGTTGAGGACTTTTATGAAATAAACCAACTTTTAAGAATGATTCTAAACTAGATTTGTATAGTTCAAGAGCTTTCACATCTTTATGATCAGTACGAATCCATTCTTTTAATAAATATTCATAAAATGAATCACCTGATGCAGAGAGACCAGCTTCATTACCACACCATGATTTTGTATTCGGATCCATATAATTAAGAAATAACCCATTAGGCTTGTTCACTTCTTCCAAAACCTTACGAATAGCATCAACCTAATATGAAGACAAGACCGTGGATAGAAAACAAAATTATAATAAAGATTATGTTAATCTATTTTGATAGCGTTTCATCTAGTTAAAGAATTAATATTTAGAAGTTTATGTGCATGTAGACTACTAAATAATAGTTATTGTTATTACTGGAATACTAAATCTTTCACTCTCTACAACTGTTGGCTGCAATATCATATACTAATTACATGTAATGCTATACAGTATCTAAAGTGGATTACAACCGTTGGCATTTTTATATAATGACGTTGGTGAGAATACAAGATGAGATCAATAGCACAGATTTATCCTTATAAATACATAGGGGAGTGGTATAGTTGTTAACTTTCGTTTCGTTGAAAAAAAAAGTTTTCTACCACTGACAAAATGCAGGTTTATTTACTCAGCCTTGGGTTACTGTCACACTATACGCAGTCGCATAAACCGAAATTAGTTGGGGGTATGGGTCAAACTGTGGACTACTGGTTGACTGCATAAGGAAAAAAATAATTAACAATTGTTAGGATTTTGTTATACTTATCTACCTATTTCATAATAGATTGATCTTATTCATTTTAATAACTTGTTTTATCTTTTATTTTGTCATATTATTTCATATTTGCAGTTATTGTAAATAAAAGACTACATAAAATAGGCCAATAGAGATTATTGTGTTTATCATATCCAACTACTACTAACTCACTGTACTTTTATTTATAAAAATTATTTGATAATCATCAATGTTATTATTTTATATGCAGTCAATCATAATTAAAGGTGCCAAAAAGAAAACCACTTTTTCTGAACATCATGAAAACAAATAGAGAGCACAAAAAAGACGATTACAAAATTCTAAATGAAATAATTTCAATTGAGAAAAGTTCATTTTTATAAAGACTTTTATTTTGTAAGCAAAATTCTGATCCTGTAGATTTGTATTACATACATTTACGAACATCTATCTTAGTTCACTTTTGTATTTTTATTTATTTATTTAATTTAACACAGATATTGGTACAAGGAGGCACCAAATACATATGCGCCACACAAATCTCATTCGATATGTGTGAGGGCTGTGATACTGCCCGGGTGCCCAAACCGAAGCACGTGGTTTTCTTAGGAGGCCACTCCCCGAGCCTTCGACCTGAAGGTCTGATCCACAAGGCAGTGGAGCAACGTAAGGAGATGCAGTCCCATGGAAGCCGGTGATCAGCAGTTGGTTCATACGCCGTTTTTTCCCGCAGGATACTGAAGCCCATGTGCACCATTGGTTTGGAATCCGGTTAAAGAGCCGGACATTCGCTTTTCGTCCTCTCAATTTCGTAAACAACACCCCCGCCACGAGAAGGCAGTGAGTAGGACTTCCCTGGCAGGGGCTATATACGCGTGGCCATGTGAAGGCAATTCGAGAGGGAGAGCGTACTTTCCCCATTCTCGGCCATACCAGGGCATTTGAGGGATGTTTAAAATTTCCAATTAATTTTTAGGACTGCGATCAATCAGTCTCTTACTGGCATACGTGCACCCTGTGCGGAATGCCTCAATATTGTCTTAAGTCACAAGCATTATAAGCAAAGATGGATAGTGGCTGGCAGTGGAATCCAGGACTCACGTTTCGTCTTTTTTCGGGACTCTTCATCATAGAGTTGATGTTCACTCTTGGACTCGAACCCAGTACCGATTGTGTTATCCACTAAACTTTCTTAGAAATAGGAATTATATTTGAAAAATTCTCAGTTATAATTAGGATAAAAAGTAAATTCCATTTTGCATTTCACAATTTGCTATGAGTTATAGACATTAATAGTGAAAATTATCATATGGTTCATAAAATAATTTTATGTACTAAACAATTATTCAATTATTTTAAGATACGGAATATTATAAATTTTTAAAGCGTAAATTATAAGCTATTTGATATGAAATATGTTCAAATTGTAATGAATGAAAAAAAATGTATGTATATGTATGCAAATCTTATTTATAAACTATTGAACATAGAAATGAATCTAGGCTATGAGGGTTAGAAATAAATAAATAAATTTTAGTAATAGACATAAATTGAACATTTTATAGGGTGTATGGATTGAGAATAAGTAACTAGACAATATTATATGTTTTTTAAAGAACAAAGAGTATTAGGCTATATAGTTATTATGGTGTTACAGTGCACACGATCTTAATTTGTTTTGTTAATCATCTGTAATATTTAAAATTAAACCACGTGGAATTTGACATTTTCAGTTCATGATTGTATAGCCTTACGAAGAAGTTATTGAAAACGATCGCTTGGTCAAATACTCTTTGTCTCTTGTATCGTCTGTACGTGTGTTTATGCTGTTATGTCAAACACGCCGGTTGTCAATAGGATATCCGACACGCGATATTTTACATCGTAGATACAACTCTATTGTATCTCCTTTGTTAATTTCACTAATTAAAAATTAAATCTTGTTCGCACAGAAATGTGCTCTTATATTATTCTTATTAAAGATCCTACACATTTCTTTCAAAGTTCTTTTGTGTTACGAGATGATTACCGATACTAGTACATAGTTTCATATTTGAATAAAAAAACCAATGGGAATTAAATAATAGGAGACAAACTAACACAACAATCATAAGATAGAATGCAAGAAGAAGAATGGGCTGTTCAGTTGATTGTCAGGACAGATTACATAAGCTACTGCTGCAGTTACTGTAATATACACAATGAAATTGTGATATTTTCCCCAAGAAACACTGAAAATATTCAATGCAGGGTAAATATTTTGGAAGTGATGTATTCCTTGAGCTGGATGGTGGTGAAGCTTTCATGAATTTCTCCACATCATCAGTATGAACTTTAAAAACATATGAGCTACTAAAACGTCTCCACAGCTGACTAACAGCTTGTTCTGTTGACCAGGAATATGATTAGCTGTGGTCGGCTATGAATAGACGTTATTTGTATGCTTATCTTGTTTGCCTTTACTTCGAACTTGATCGCTGACATTAAAACTGTTTATGCTTTTTCTTACTGACTGATATACTTGAGATTATTGGCTGGAAACGTCGCGTGACAGCCCAGAATCAGTTGTAATGGTGCGAGTCTATCTATTCTATATTTTACTTAACATTTCGAGTCTTTCTATTACTTTATACATAACTTCCCATTTCGTCTTTCTGAACCATATTTTTAATTGTCAATACTACTACTACTACATTATTTCGATTTATTTACGATTCATCTTGCTGATGTGGTATGGCAGTTTGAGCTAACATATGCTTATGCTTTGATCTATGTTGATCATGACTAACTGACATCACCTTTCACGATTGAAGTTAGGGGACCATAAAATTTATCGTCGAATCCTGAATTAGTACATGCCACTAAGCCGATATATATGTAGCATTTAAAATTACAAATTGGATTTCATCCACTTATATTTTGTCACCTTTATTCTTTTATAGTCAGTCCTGATAATAAACCGACTTAGTATTTTTCTTTTCAACTGAATCTCGCTTTATTATTATTATTTTCATTACATTTTGGTCGGTGTTTATATTTTTTAATAATGAAAATATGAATTTCGCTTCCAGTGAGACAGCTAAAGAGTTGATCACTACTACAACAGGAATATAACCTTAAAGTTAATGGAGTAACTAACCAGAGTAAAATATTAGATTTATGCACCACTTCATGTTTAGATTACTTTAAATAATGAATTTAACTTTACTGTATAATCTATCCAATTATTAAAAAACCACAACTGAGATCCTATTATGAATGATTTTCAGACAGTCAGTACACTACTGATAATTTGTTGCTATATGAGCGTAAACCTGGATTCTACATCAAATATTGAACATAGTAAAAAATGCGTTTTTTCGGTCATTATCTTAGGTGGTCGGCATTATAAAAGCTAACAGTGAATCCCAATCAAGTGTGAAGCAATCTTTTAGTTATAACTTTTACATTTTAAAAAAGAACTACCGGAAATGGACATTTTCGTATAAAGTCTGCGTGTGATTTGCTTCTCTATTTTCTTTTTATGTGGTAAGAATTTTATACTGCTTGTGCTTTTTGATCACTACTAGACAAAAATTATGAAAAAAAACAAAATGTAAATTTTAATACAAAAATGATGCGTACCATGCCACAAACAGTTTTTATTTTCAACTTTATTTTTCATTTACACAAAATGATGGCAAGAAAAGTGACTTTTTCGCTTTTGAAAAAACAGTGAAAAGTTTATTTTCCATATGGGTACATTGTCGTATATAATTTTTGGATTGATCTATACACTAATTACCAAATATCGTTCAAGACATTCACAACGGAAACAGACATAGAATTTTTTTATTGTATCTCTAAATGGGAAATATTACTTTCGTACTGATCTATGTAAACTGAACTAATGATAAGGAGTGAAGAAGTCGAGAGTGTCACCCACTTAACTTATCTTGGAGGTTTCATCAAACCCAAGTTGGTTGGTGTCTGATGAAGTCTCGCGACACACTAAGAAAGTTCGGTTGACTATGTCAACTTATGGCATAAGCGAGATGTTCACCTGGAAATTAAAGGACGAGTATATCGTGGAGAGATTTGCTTTGTTTAGCTTTATGCCTATGAGACGTGACCTATAAAAATAGAGAATATTCGTAAGTTACCAGTATTTGTCGCAGATACATTTGAGGCATTCCTGGCGTATATTGGGGTCATAAAGTAAGGTACTAGACACAGGGTATTGGGTAAAGATCCCAAGTCCATTCATATGGTAGTGAATATTTATCAACTGAGATGGTCAGGACATGTTTTATGTAAGCCTAATCACCGACTACTGCGATAACGGCTAGTTTAACAGTAGGTTTCGATGGTGGTTGGAGGTAGTCAACAGGAAACCCTGGACCCGGGTTTCGTGCTACTTGGCACTCGTCAGCAAGGTGTACCTGTAATCTTGAGGGAACTGGTGCTCCCTGGCCGATTCGATCTCGTGTCACCCAGCTTCACAATCAGAGACGTTACCACTGAGCCATCCGAGCCGTGACTAGACAAGCATGACATTGATCACCACCCAGTGATCAATCAATTGTGATTACATCTCAGTCCTACAGGCGGTTAGTCACGGCTCGGATAGCTCAGTGGTAACGTCTCTGACTGTGAAGCTGGGTGACACGAGATCGAATCGGCCAGGGAGCACCAGTTCCCTCAAGATTACAGGTACACCTTGCTGACGAGTGCCAAGTAGCACGAAACCCGGGTCCAGGGTTTCCTGTTGACTTCTCCAACCACCATCGAAATCTCAATACATAGTGCCCGCAGTGTCGAGTCACCTAGACTGGTGGCCACATTGCAACATGATTGATAGCATTCGATCTGCACTAATAAGGACTAGACAAGAATGACATTGATCACCACCCAGTGATCAATCAATTGTGATTAACGGTAGGTCGGAAGAGTGGCCAAACTAAGACACGATATCAATTAACGAAGATATCGTCTGTTGGACTATCCGGTTGGGGTTTGTTTAATGATAGTAACTACTTTTGAGGGATGGCTTAAAATCGCCCGCAATGAAGCGAATGCAATCACATTGTCTTTCTGTAGATTGAAGGTTCCTAAGCCACTTTATAAATTTGTTTCCCATTTCATGAAGTCATAATTTTTCTCGAATAGTTCTTTCGATGCCTAATCTTTTCTATTACCACTAATACTGTTACTACCTCAATTACTCTGGGATTTGCCCCAACTATTTCATCTTATCGTGTTAATGGGGTGTGGCAACGTAAACTGACATGGATATGTGCCCGATTTTAAGCGATGTATGTATGAGTGACTGTCATTACAGTAAGATGGTTATCACTGACTGCATCGGATTAAGGTTATGCAGTATCATCAATAGAATGAAGTAGAAAAGCTTGAAATACTACTGGATTCCAACACATCATTTTTGAAAGAAGTTATTATGCTCACTATGAAATCTAACGTAGGACATTTGGATTGTACAATGTTAAGGTTGCATGAATATGAACAACAACAGTTGGCTAGCTGCTTATTTCTACTTAGTTTTAAGTGATTCTCTACCTGTAATATGAGTTTTATTGATCTTAAAACTATACAAATTACCACAATATCCATATAAATAACTGTTATTACAATTAACAATTTTTGATTATGAAAGGATACAACCACCGTGTCAATTATCCTACCGTTTATTTACAGATAGAAATGATACACATGAATTAACGGCTAATATAAAGACGATTTTACAATTCATAAAAGTAATCATTTATCCAATAACTACTGATATATAAATGCATGTCAACAAACTGAAAAAAATTATATGTAGTCAATCAATGTTTCTATTTAAAAGAAAAATTAACATGGACTACTACTGATTTCGAATAAATAAGATTATTATAATCGATTGTTACTGTATTTTACACTTGTGAAAATAAACACTTTTATTCGAATAAAAATGATCATATTTTCACAAACAAATACTATGTATCAACTTGTCATATAACCTATTTTGGCGAAAACAGACTTAATCAGCAGAGATAGACAGTGGCTCTTTGGGACTCGTCAACTGGATGTACCTGCATCTCAAAGTTGATGTTCGCTCTGGGACTAGAACCCAATACCGCTCGCTTTAAACACCATCGAGTTATCTACTTAGATACAGAGTCCTGATAGACACAAGCAAGTGGCCACTCCGAGATGCAGGCACATCCAGCTGACGAGTTCCAAATAAGACGGAACGCGCGTCCTGGATTCCACTGCCAGCCACTATCCATCTTTGCTTATAATGCTTGTGACTAAAGACAATATTGAGGCATTCCGCACAGGGTGCACATATGACAACAAGAGACTGATCGACTGCAATCTTAAATATTAATGGTTAGATTCAAGTAAGCAATACTAAGGGAATGAAAACAGACTTAGCTAGAAATTTAATAATTTTACTAGCTAACTAGAAAGAAAACATGACAATTAAATATTGGTGTTCCACTGTTTTCACAGTAAAAGCAAAACTTACCGTTATGCCAACTATAAAAAAAGTAGTTATTATTATTTTATCAATCGATTACCTAAATATCAACAACACAATGAAAAATGTGTGTTCTGGCATAGAAATGATATTAATTTGATTATATTCACATTAAATTAAAACAACCCAAGGTAGATAACTTTAGTATGAAAAAAAATAAGAAAAGTAAGTCGAATAAAGTTAAGGAAAATCAGTCATATGAATGTAAGCTGTACTTGGAATGCAGTTTGGCAATTAAAAAACTTAGTATACAAGGCAAAAATATAAACTCTTTACTATTGATGTGAGTGGAATACTTTCACTCCTCTGTTAAATGAGATCATGGGTAGTGAAAAAAATGGGATTCAAGAGTTTAAAGTAGACAATTTGCTAATAGTTTCAAAATAAAAAACAAATCTGTATTAATTAAACTGAAACACATACGATAGAAAAAGTATGATGAATGTAAAAATTAGTGAGGTAGAATTACTAAAAATATTTTGTTTGTCCTACAGTAATACAACAATATAGCATTGCCAACGCATTTACAATAATTATCATAGATGATAATTACTTTGACAAAGATATTGTGAATTGAACTGTGATTTATCGATAATTCAATAATGCTGAAATAAGCTACGTCTTGTATCCTAGAATGCGAAGAATAACAACTAACTAACTAATTGTAGATCGCACAGAATCAGAAATTGGACTGATTAACAGAATGTTTTGAATACAGGTTCGACAATAATCAACGAAGAGTAATATTTAGCCTTAAAAAAACTCATGATTCATCTCATATGTAATCATTTGGAGTCATTATTTAAGTACTTTTGGTCCTTGATCAATTTCTGATAGGTAATCAACATGGAGCTAATCAGATTCTACCTAGAAATCGGGTTAGCATGATGGTCAAAAAATTATATGGACTGGGATCATATAGTTAACATATAACACAGGATGACTTTACAAAACCAAGGATGTTGTGGATCTTATTAACGTGTTTTTGAAAATTACGTTAATTGTATACTGTTATGATTAAACTGCTTTTTTCTAGCACACTTATGCAACACTAGGTCAATCGGAAACAAGTTATAGTTGGGGTGGGGTAAGACAGTTCTCACTATTATTTTACATAAAAAGTAAGCAAACTACTTGAAAACTAACCTTTTCTGAATAGACCGGATTGCCAGTTAGCTCAGAAAGATATTTAAATTCCATATGTAATGTACCAAACTCTGATAGAATTGAACATTGACCATTTGCCCAGACAAAATTCCGCTTACCTCCCCTAAAGTAATTCATAACAAAAGAATATTCATAAGATCATATTAGATAGAAAATTTTCCTTAATAGTTTAAGTGTAGGTAGAACACGAGAATGATGTATTTAGCAAAATAATTATTCTTTCCACTTTTGCAAAGAGTTAGTTTCATTTAAATAGCTCTACACAGAAGTATGGAGAGCAGGGGACCACCAATATATGTGGTATTTCCGAGACTTTATTTTTTTATTTGAACACAAATATTGGCACATGGGGGCACCAAATATATATGCACCACACAAATTTCATTCATTGTGTGTGATGATGATGATTTGAAACACCTATAATCGAATCAACATATGATAAACATTTTAATCAATAGTCTGGTAAGATCTTTCGAATAATTTTCAAAGGAATAAACAAGATGAGAGTTATTTAGATTACTTTTTACGTTAAACGTGTGTTTAGTGTATGAAACATACAGTCCTTTGAATACAGCAAGATTTGTGGGCACTAAACGAAACGGATGAGTTTTGTGGAAATAGTGTTAACCGTTGATTCAATTAACTACAAGTAAATTCGGATTGATATATTGTCCAAAGATATCAACAAATATGTAGGCCTAGTAACGAATTGATAGGAATTTCAAACTGATTACAGAAACATGAGTATTGACTGGCTGATTCGGTCCGCATAATATGAGTAACGCTTATCGAGTAAGTTTGAACTAAGTAAATGAATTACAATCTAAAAAATTATTTTAAAAAGTACTCGGCTTTTAGCAACATGCTTTATATAACTGTCGACCTCCTGAAATTAAACTAAGTAAAACAGGTTTCGAACCCGTCATTCAGCCGTCGAAACATGAATGTTTTGAATACTTAGCCAATACGTTACTTAGTGCTTAAAAATATCCAACAATAGCAAGTATTATCATTCAATCTCAAACACAATTTCACAGGACAAAAATGTGCAGCGATTTAAATAAAAATGTTTACTAATTACGATGAGATTTATAAACTCCATTAACTGAACATTTAAGATATCCAGAAACTTAATTACTAACTATACACACTATAACTCCGCCTGTAGCTCTTCTAGAGTTACTGCCGGTCCCAAGCCCGGGTAAAGGAGGAGGGTTGGGCATGGGGTTAGCGTCCCCATCCCGTAGAAAACTAACTCGCTAAAAAAACGCTTACCAGAAAAAATAATTCAAACCATTTTAACTCTGCCCTGAGAGTTAGAAGGTCTTCATTTAGAAGAATTATGACGCTTCATGGTGAAAGCCGAGTTCCTTCGGAAGCCACGAGGCCGATGCCCCTTCTAACAACCAGAGCAAAAATTTTTATAGGTACATGGAACGTTCGAACAATGTGGGAAACCGGGAAGACCAGCCAAATAGCAACGGAAATGAGGAGATACAATTTGGCAGTACTGGGAATCAGCGAAACCCACTGGACCCAAGCTGGACAGAAAAGGCTAGCTACGGGAGAGATGCTGCTATACTCCGGTCACGAAGAGGAAAATGCTCCACACACTCAGGGAGTTGCTCTAATGCTGTCCAAAGTAGCACGAAATGCACTTGTAGGATGGGAATCCCACGGATCCAGAATCATCAAAGCATCATTCAAAACAAAGAAGGAGGGGATCTTAATGAATATTATCCAATGTTATGCACCCACCAATGATAGCAACGACGACATTAAAGATCAATTCTACGAGCGGCTGCAGTCAATCATAGAGAAATGCTCAAGAAAGGACCTCACCATTCTGATGGGAGATCTAAATGCCAAGGTCGGAACAGACAACACTGGATATGAAGATATTATGGGACGACATGGACTGGGAGAGAGGAACGAAAATGGAGAAAGATTTGCAAATTTGTGTGCATTCAACAAATTAGTCATAGGAGGCACAATATTTCCACACAAACGTATACACAAGGCTACATGGATCTCACCGGACCACACTACAGAGAACCAGATAGACCATATTTGCATCAACAAAAAATTCCGAAGGACAATGGAAGATGTGAGAACCAGGAGAGGAGCTAACGTAGCTTCAGATCACCACCTAGTTGTAGCCAATTTAAAACTGAAGCTAAAAAAGAACTGGACAAGTGGACAAACAGCACTACAAAGGTTCAATACAGCCTTCCTTCGAGATACTGACAAACTCAATGAATTCAAGATAGCTCTCAACAACAGGTTCCAAGCCTTTCAAGATCTACTGAAGGAAGAAGAAACTACCATGGAGGACAACTGGAAAGGCATCAAAGAAACATTGACTTCAACGTGTCAAGAGGTTCTGGGCCTAAAGAAACACCATCATAAGGAATGGATCTCTATAGAAACACTGGACAAGATCAAAGAAAGGAAGAACAAGAAGACAGCAATTAACAACAGCCGAACACGAGCAGAGAAAGTCCAAGCACAAGCTGAATACATAGAAGCAAACAAGCAAGTGAAGAGGAGCATTAGAGCTGACAGGGAGAAATACGTGGAAGAATTAGCAACGACGGCAGAAAAAGCTGCTAGAGAAGGAAATATGAAACAGCTTTACGATACAACGAAGAAACTATCAGGGAAATACAGTAAACCAGAGAGGCCGGTCAAAGACAAAGAAGGCAAGTCAATCACTGAAATTCAACAACAGCGAAACAGATGGGTAGAATACTTCGAGGAACTCCTGAATAGGCCGGCTCCAATGAATCCACCGAACATCGAAGCAGCACACACAGATCTTCATATAGATGTCAACCCACCAACGACGGAAGAAATTAGAATGGCCGTCAGACAAATCAAGAACGGGAAAGCAGCAGGACCCGACAACATACCAGCTGAAGCACTGAAATCAGACGTCGAAGTAACCACAAGCATGCTTTACCCTCTATTCAAAAAGATTTGGGAGGAGGAACAAGTGCCAATGGACTGGAAAGAAGGACACCTCATCAAGATTCCAAAGAAAGGAGATCTGAGCAAATGTGAAAACTACAGAGGCATCACACTACTGTCAATACCAGGGAAAGTCTTCAACAGAGTGTTGCTGAACCGGATGAAGGATGCAGTAGATGCCCAACTTCGAGATCAACAAGCTGGATTCCGAAAGGATCGGTCGTGCACAGACCAAATTGCAACACTACGGATCATCGTCGAACAATCAGTTGAGTGGAACTCGTCACTGTACATCAACTTCATTGATTATGAAAAGGCATTCGACAGTGTAGATAGGAGGACATTGTGGAAACTTCTTCGACATTACGGAGTTCCTGAGAAGATTGTCAATATTATCCGGAACTCATACGACGGACTACAGTGCAAAGTAGTGCATGGAGGACAGCTGACAGATGCATTCCAAGTAAGGACCGGAGTCAGACAAGGCTGTTTACTCTCTCCCTTCCTCTTTCTTCTGGTGGTCGACTGGATTATGAAGACCTCGACATCTGAAGGAAAACACGGAATACAATGGACAGCTCAGAACCAATTAGACGATCTGGACTTCGCAGATGACCTAGCCCTCCTATCACGTACACACGAACAGATGCAGATGAAGACAGCCAGTGTAGCAGCAGTCTCTGCATCAGTAGGCCTCAGCATACACAAAGGGAAAACGAAGGTCCTCAAATTCAAAGCGGAGAACAGCAATCCAATCACTCTTGATGGCGAAACTCTGGAAGATGTAGAATCCTTCACATATCTGGGAAGCATCGTCGATAGACATGGAGGTTCAGATGCAGACGTAAAGGCGAGGATTGGCAAAGCAAGGGCCGCATTCCTACAATTGAAGAACATATGGAACTCAAAACAACTTTCAACCAATATCAAAGTGAGAATCTTCAATACGAACGTCAAGGCAATTCTACTGTATGGAGCTGAAACTTGGAGAACTACAACAACCACAATCAAGAAAGTACAAGTATTTATAAATAGCTGTCTACGCAAGATACTCAACATCCATTGGCCGGATACCATCAGCAATAGCCTTCTTTGGGAGAGAACAAACCAACTTCCAGCTGAAGAGGAAATTAGGAAAAGACGATGGAAATGGATAGGACATACATTACGCAAATCGTCAAATTGCATCACGAGGCAAGCTCTAACTTGGAATCCTGAAGGGAAGCGGAAAAGAGGAAGGCCAAAGAACACATTACGTCGGATAATAGAAGCAGATATGAAAAGGATGAATTACAACTGGAAGGAGCTGGAAAGTATTGCCCAGGACAGGGTTGGATGGAGAATGCTGGTGAGCGACCTATGCTCCTTCACGAGGAGTAACAGGTGTAAGTAAGTAAGTAATACACACTATATTTGTCATTATGACAAAACAAATTTTCATTCAAAGTCTGGAGAATGGTAATTTATATAAATATCTTTTTAAATAAATATTAACAAAAAATAGCATGAATTGGTTCATTCCGTAGGTGATAATGAACACATGGAATTATCTGATAACAGTAAAACAACACAAGAACGAAAATAAGTACAACTAGTAGAGTAGATAGGACTGACCACCAGGTAAAAGCAAACTAATGTATTTATTCATATACGCACACACAGACCCAATGGAAGAGCACATTCCTATTACCATAGAAAATGAGGTCAACTACATGTAACTAATTATGATTATCCTTTAATACAGTATAAACTCATATAACATTTTAATTAGTAAAATTCGTTAAAAATATTACTGAAGAATATACTTAAATAAATAAGCAAATATAAATATATGTATCTTAACAAAGGATGCAAAGATAAGAGGTTTAAAGTGCAGATTTGTATTTGTACAAATGTAGATAAACAGACATAAAAACTTATGCAAAATAACATTGATCTAAAATACGTACATGAACTAGATTTGAGAAAAAATATACACCATGATCGATATGACAGAAAAACAAACAGTATATTTTTACGGTTAGTTAATTAAACCTAGTGTGTATTATTACTAAAATTAGGAATACAACTCTGCTAATGTGTTAAATGTGAAACTTTTGTGTTTGTCTAAAAAAAATGTAACAGTCGGGCATTTACGTAAAGTTGTAATTTGTAACTTAAGTGTTTAGCAGCATATTAAGTATTACAAAACTGTTACCTGCTACAAATGATGACGTGGAGATATTTAGCTCAGGAGGATGATTTAGGTAGAGTTTTGTTCTTTGAACTGGACGGCTTGTTTGTAGCGCTTTTATTGTTCTTCTGAACAACATCATCAGAGCAAACTTCAGGTACAAGCTCCACGACCAAACTATGCAGCTCAGAGAACGAAATTCCACTTATATGATGATGTATTTTAAGAGTAACAATAACTTCTACAGAATGGTTAGCTTGGGTTAGAAGAGAAATAAATTTTATTCACACTACTGACACATAATGCGACAACCATGAGCAATTTGAACTAAACCACCGAATAATATGTATCAAGTTCAGTAAAGTTAAATGTAGGAGCTCGATTGAAAAATCTCCAGATGTGTACAATTACAATATCTTAAGGAAAGTACAACTGCAATAAAATATCATATAACTAATTTTAAAAGATGAACTGGATTAAATGAATTGAAACGGAAAAGTAAACAGGTGTGTCTACAAACTCAACTATAAGATCGTAAAAATTGAATCACTCATCAGCATATTTCAAGCAAAGCATATAACATAACAAGGAGTTAAATGTTAAAACAATGAAGGCACGCACACATTATCATTTTAATCACCATGTTTACCACTAATAAACAATATTTTCAGTCGGTATAAGTAGAAAGAAAAATAAAAACAAATTGTTATTTACGTTTTCAAATTGATTAAACTCATTGGAATTCCACTAGGTGTATCAAATGCAGGTAATAAACGTTGAGCAAGTTCAACCGCTTTAGTCAGTAAAATCTGAAGTAAAAAGAAACAAAACCAAACAACAATGAAGATAGGCCATAAATATAAAGAAAAAAACAAAGAACACTTATTATGAATTAAAATAAAAAATTAATGTCTATAAAACAATAATTAATTGTTGTTTACAGAAAGACTGTTTTTACAGAGAATTATTTCAGGCTCTAAAGGTACATTTTACCTTCATAGAATTCATTAAACCAAGTGGAATACGAGATAAATGTTACCGATGACAATTAATGATGGACATGTGAGATTGTCAAATGACTTAAGTTAAGAATTTAAACCACCTGTTTCCAATTCAATGATCTGTAGGTGAATTGATCGCTGTGAGACCTGGAGGCCTTCGTTCAAGGCTTCAAAGCTACTAGAATGAGATATTTATTCTTCCTAATTCTCAATGTTTGTCTTAATGAAATCAATATGTAGTGTAAAACTACAAAATAATCAGTGTTCGAAACGACTAGACTATTGAATTGTAAAAGTTGGTGCGATGAACTCGAAGATTTATGAAAATTATTATACACAACGCAGTAGCCTAGTTAAAACTCAGCTGAGGTAATTAAAGTATAATAGTATGTTTAGAAAGATGAGTGATCAATGAATTATTTTTGTCATTAAGTTTATTATCGGTAGCAATGGAAGATTACCGAACGGAACACATTCGAGTTAACAAAATATCTTGTTTACTTTTGAATAACATTATTTATCAAACATAAGTTTTCATAATGAAATAGCACAGTATTTTGTCTAAGTATTTGAAATTTATTTAGACTAAATGCGACTGTAGTTTCGGAGACAAAAGTATTGGTATAAATATTAATATTTAATGTATGCGCCTTTGAACTGAAGTTGTCGAGTTTGATATAAACAAAGTAGGACAAAATGTATTGAAGAACTGCTCATATATTAATATGCTGGGAAATAGTACTGCAGTGAAGTGAACATCTATGTTGCAGATATGTGTATATTAAATTTTAGCGGTTTTCATCGTACTAGGAAAATACTGAACAACTGTAATAGCCACACAAAAACATTTGTATTAAAATCAAGGGTCATAAACAACCAGTTACTATTTCCTTAGTAAAAATTGTATTCACATAGCGATGAACAATAATGTGTGGAATACAGTTTGAAGTTGACTATCAAGTGATAAAGTCAATTCTCCGTAATACAATTCAACCAAGTGCTGACCGTGAATAGTTATATATATATATATATATATATATATATATATATATATATATAACATTGATTTACTGAGGAGGAAATCTAATTATAATTGACTTAATTATTAATACCGAGTATTAATAAGAAATGAATTCCCTATTCTAAAAAACGTTTCCTATTACAAGCTAACAACAGACTAATAAAGATAATTTGCTATAAAGAAAATGAGATCAAAACAGAACGAATAAACAACGTGTATCACAGTTATAACATGCTTATTAAGATAGACATGCACAAACAAATAAATAACCGATCAACCACAATAATATTTATGATTAAAAGTTAAAAAACAAACAAACAAAATGAATAGCATTTCGAGATAATAAATTTAGAACGGCAAAATGAATTATTTAGTTAAGAATTGCTATATGGTCAGTTGTGATAGTAGGGAAAGGATTTCATTCTACAATCTGAATGATCAGTTATAAACTAATCAAAATCCCAGTGAAACGATTGGTTTAGATTTAGTCAAATTATTTATTTTATGCAAATCATACTACTTGTTTATATAAAAACAAAAACATAGGATATGCTCAGATTGTTTAATTTATTATGCTACTGAGAATAAAGAGTAAGAAGGATAACAGTGCATATATTTTTCATTTCAAAAAGTTTAGTTTGAATCACAGAAGACATATCGACAAATGAGGGGGATAAGATGATAGATATGTTAGTATCATTGGGAGTTCATAGTATATTTAGTCCACTGTGTTAAAAGCGGAAACATAATTTGTGTTAAGCATGAAAATTCTAATGTTTGGTGGATCACTTTTGTAAAGTACAATAAACAGTAATGGTAAATGAAAGGCATTTTGATGAACGAAACACATATGTTCTTCGTATTGACGGTTTTATACCTTTATTTAGAGCGAAGAGTACTTTGTTTGTGAATACAAGTCCAGTCCTTTTTAGGATAAAATTAACCTGGAAACAATTAGTTTGGGTTTAGTTTTGTTATTCTTTAGCCGATAAAATTTTATGAATTACTTAGTGTATGTTATGACAACATTCTATCATGAAAACAAATATCACTAATTTTTTCCAAGATGAATTAATAATGATTATTTATGACAATTTTGTCCAGAATAATCTTGGCCACTTATAATACATAGGTAGAAAATTTTTTTCACATATTATTCTAAAAAACTTTGAATTTTGCATCAGAGAAAAAACAACACTTGGACAGAAAGACAAATATGAAACAAAACATAGTTTTATGAAAGTATGTTGACAGAGAGAGAAGGTAGCTCACAACAGCATCACCTAAAATTAATGAAGATAAATTTTCTAAGGAATGACAAGAATGTAGAGGTAATGTTATGATGACCGATATAAAGAAGTGTAGTGTTTAACATTTAGAAGACTATGAATGACAATACCTCGTTTTGTTTTGATAACATTTTAAACTACTGACTTGACTTAATTCCAATTACAATCAGTAGATATTATCAACGAAAAGTAGTTAGAACACAGAAGGCTGAATGATTTTGAGAAGCAGTTGCGTACAATGAGTGATTTATTATGTAAACCAATATAATATGACTTGAAAGTGGATAGTAATCACTTTTGAAAAATAACGTGTACAAATATGAATGCATTTACATCTCTACGTATTAGATAAATAAATTATACGTACTTTGGTATTCATGATAATTACTAAATGAAAATCATGTGTATGAGAAACACTCGACTGGAAAGACACAATAGATGTATATGGTTGTGTATAAGACATAAGATTTTCTAACTTATTCAATTAAACTAAAGGGTCAAGCACGTCATAATAATTATTGTTATGAATTAAAGTAGTTTTTGTAAGGAGTACAATATGAAAGTAACTGATATGATGGTGAACCGGGGGATTACTGAAAACTTAATATTATCAGTATAAAAAATTAGAAAGCATTAGTTAATAGTTTTTATGTTTTACTATCGAACAGTAAAAAATATGTAAAAAGTTCACTTGATGAATGTACAAATATACACTTTATTAATTAAATGTATTAACTAGTATATATATATATATATATATATATATATATATATATATATATATATATATATATATATATATATTTGACTTAGGATATCCCTACTTCCTTTAATGCACTTGTAAACAAATAAATCTGCAAAAAAGTGCAAAACGATAAAACAACAAGAGCGAGTAACGTGCGCTAAATAATAAGTAAAAGCATGAAATAGGAAGAGTAGGAAATAAATAATTTTTAAATGGAATACAAAATTTGCGATTGTTTTCCATCAATACTTGATACTCATTTTTAGATAATAATTATTGTGTACCAGTGTGGGGTAAAAAGAAACTCCAGCGAGTTTATGATACAGTGTAACTATTATCCAATGTTATTATTAGTAAATAACTCCCACAGAAAGCAATCATAACATGACTACATAGACGACAGCGTCGTAGTAGAATGTTGATAAATCTATCTTGAAGCTAATCCGTGCTGTGAAGATAAAATCGAAAAAACAAGACAATAGGCAGGAGGTATGCATATTTATAGAGAGAAGTTACAAATTATTTACATAGCACATACATAAAGCCTTCAATTGTTCATTCTCATCTTTCGTTGTGTATTGTAATCTGAACTATCTTCTCGACTGGCCTTCAAGTTTTCTGCGAATGCTGTGCTTTCGATGCACCGAAACTGTTCACTCTGTCTGACAACTGTTGGTAAATCGATACCACGTTCCACTACACAGTAACTATTTTAATGAGACTTTATGGAGAGATGAGTTCGATTTGTAAATGCCTTGGTACGGCCGCTCTCCCTCTCGAAATACTCTCACACGGCCACGTGTATACAGCCTCTGTCAGGGAAGTCCTACTCATTGCCTTCTCGTGGCGGGGGTGTTGTTTACGAAAATGAGAAGACGAAAAGTGAATGTCCGGCCCGTTAACCGGATTCCAAACCAATGGTGCACATGGGCTCCAGTATCCTGCGGGAACAAATGGCGTATGAACCACTCGTTGGTCACTGGCTACCATGGGATTGCATCTCCTTACGATGCTCCACTGCCTTGTGGGTTAGACCTTTAGGTCAAAGGCTCGGGGTGTGGCCCCCTAAGATAACCACCTGCTTCGGTCTGGGCACCCGGACAGTATCACAGCCCACACGCAAATATGATGAACTGCCTATAATTATGCAAACTACTTTACTTGCTTATTATTTACCACATTATTCACCCTCTTTTATACTTATACAGCGGCTAGTCTTTGGTGGAAATTCGACTGTATCTAAACGTTCTCGTGTCACTGTCCAGTTGAAATTTGTATGTTACCACCGAACACGAGGACTGAAGCAGTTTTTCTGAAACCACGTGCACCATTCAAACTGGCTGCCTTCAACGTTCGCACACTCATGCAGGTTGGACAACATATAGGGATGGCTATGTCTTTGGAAAGTCTTAATATCGGTGTTTGTTGTCTATCCGAGACCCGTATTCAAGACTCTGGTGAAGTACTACAAATTCGCTCTACATCTGTCGCTTCGAAAAGCTTGTTTTACGTGCGCTTATTCGAGGACCCTGTGGCATCTTCGTCTGGTCTTGCTGGCGTTGGTGTCGCACTAAGCGCTCGAGCTGAGGCAGCACTAGTCGATTGGATCCCCATTAACAGTCATTTATGTGCTGTTAGATTAGAAAGTTCCATCAAAGTGAGAAGAAATCGGCGTGAGAAACGATGTCTTTTCGTCATCTCCGCCTATGCCCCGACAGATTGCAGACCGGATGCAATCAAGGATGAGTTTTACCATCAGTTATCTGTTCTTCTCCAGAAAGTGTGTTCGACAGATATTGCAGTATTAGCCGGAGATTTCAATGCTCAGGTCGGACGTCTAGGCACAACAGAGAGTCGTCTAGGTGGCCAATCGGGACTTGTTGGTCGCAGGACAGATAAAGGGGACCGTCTACTGCAACTATGCACAGACCAAAACCTGTTTCTGGCTAGCACTAACTTTGGGCACAGTCATCGCCGATGTGCCACCTGGCGTCCTCCATCTGCATCCCAAGCCTGGACTCAGATTGATCACATCGCGATCAGCTACCGCTGGAGTGGTTGTGCACAAGACTTCCGCTCCTTTTGGAGCACCTATCTGGACTCTGACCATGCCTTGGTCTGCGCCAATCTTGCCTTACTTTTCAGTGGACAACGAAGTGACCGCCATCAACGGATTGATATTAGCAAGCTGGTTGCGACTTCTGTTGCAAGTAAGTATCGAACCGAGCTAGCCTCTAGGCTAGCTACCACTACACCGAAAAGTATAGATGAGCATTGGTTGCAATTGCACGACGCCATGAAAATGGCGGGTACAGTCAGTTCTGGGTTCGCGAAACGTCCCGCTTATAAGCACTGAGTTTCTTCAGGCTCCTTACAACTCATTGAAGCCCGTCGGTCTACTCCGAGTGCCCGTGAGTTTGACCACAAACGACGACTGTTGCGTAATGAAATTGGACAAAGCTTGCGTAAGGACCGAGAAGCCTGGTGGTCGGAGCGTGCTAATGAGCTGGAAGCAGCAGCTGCATCTGGTAACTACCGGAAGCTCTTCCAACTCATCCGAGCCACTGGCAGCAAGAAGTCTGGTGTGAGTGAAACAATCTGCGAGGATGATGGGATGCCAATCACTAACATCCATCGACGTCTTGGACGATGGGCAGAATTTTTCGAAAGGCAGTTCAACTGGCCTGCTGCTCCGGCAACATCGGTCAGACTGTCCTGCCCTCCATGGACGGTGACAACTGATCCGCCAAACGAGGAGGAAGTCTGCAAGGAACTCCAACTCTTGAAGCGTTACAAATCACCTGGCCCAGATGACTTACCTCCGGCTCTTTTTAAAGATGGTGGTGACTTTCTGACTAAGGAATTGACGACGTTGTTTACAAAGGTTTGGGAACTAGAGAGTGTACCAACGTCATGGAATGAATCGATAGTTGTCCCTATCTTTAAAAAGGGTTCACGTCGTTCCTGTAACAACTATCGAGGGATAAGTCTACTTCCGATTGCGTCCAAGCTATTGGCTTCCGTCATACTTCGTAGGTTGTTCAAAACCCGAGAAAGATTGACTCGCGAGGAGCAGGCTGGGTTTCGTTCTGGTCGAGGATGTATTAATCATATCTTTACCCTCCGCCAAATGTTAGAACACCGTCATACTTATCAAAGGCCAACAATTGTAGTGTTTCTTGACATCAGGGCTGCCTTCGATTCGTTGGATAGGACTGTTCTCTGGGATTGTCTATTGAAGAAGGGTGTGCCTGAGAAGTTTATTAACATCCTAAAAGCCCTATATACAAACACCTCAGGCAGAGTGAGGGCATAAAACCACCTCTCTCCATTGTTCCATTTGAGTAGTGGGGTTAGGAAGGGTTGCCCAATCTCACCATTCCTCTTCAACTTTGCCATCGATGACATTCTGGAAACATCTCTGACAGATGTAAGTAATGGTGTCGTGGATTTGCTGCCTGGAGAAAGACTTCTCGACCTTGAGTATGCGGATGATATTGTCTTACTGTGCGATAATGCCCAAGCCATGCAATCCGCACTTAATCAGTTGGCAATCAATGTCCGTAGGTATGGTATGTGCTTTGCACCTTCGAAGTGCAAAGTACTTCTACAAGACTGGCAGGATTCCAATCCTGTACTCACCCTGGATGGTGAGCACATAGAAGTAGTCGAGAAGTTCGTGTATCTGAGTAGCGGCATAAGTGCTGGTGGGGGTGTGAGTAATGAGATCAATGCACGTATAGTGAAAGCCAGAGCGGCTTATGCCAATCTGGGCCATCTTTGGCGCCTTCATGATGTTAGTCTGGCTGTAAAAGGTCGGATCTACAACGCGTCGGTGAGAGCAGTTTTGCTCTATGCTTGTGAAACCTGGCCTCTCCGAGTTGAGGACGTTAGACGACTCTCTGTGTTCGATCATCGCTGTCTCCGAAGGATTGCTGACATTCAGTGGCAACACCATGTCAGTAATGCAGAGGTTCGGCATCGTGTGTTCGGGCACAGAGATGATAATTCAGTCGGTGTCACCATCTTGAAACACCGACTTCGGTGGCTTGGACATGTTCTCCGAATGTCGTCCCAGAGAATTCCACGTCGTGCATTATTTGCCGACTCTGGGACTGGTTGGAAGAAGCGGAGAGGTGGTCAGTGTATGACATGGTGTCGTGGCATGGAAGAAAGCTGCAAAGGACTGGCTTCTGTCGGACCTTCACGACTCCCTGGTTGGGGTCTGAGAGATGGTGCTACACAGTGGCTAGAGACGTTATCAGATATGGCTGAGAATAGAAGCCAGTGGCGATCCTGCTGTAATCTTCTTTTACTTTCTTCATAAAAAGTGGTTGTGTCTCCCTTACCTGAAAGATTTCTTCTGACTGCACCTTTCCGTTCCCTCATTTCTACCATACTACCTCACACCAATCTCCTCGTTATTGTTCTCTTTTTTTTGCGCTCCTTAGCTTTTTTTCTATTTCTCTTCGAATTCTCATTGTTTTGTGTGGCGCATATATATTGGCGCTCTCTTGTACCAATATTCATGTGTTCAAATAAATAAATAAAATAAATGGTGTTTCACAAAACTCATAAAACGTTTAGTAACAACTGGTGTGATTTGAGATCTAAAACGATGACTATCCAGTGCTGCTGGTGACAACTGTTTCACTCCCGACATGACTGCACTCTATAAGCTCTAATATTTCAGGATTTAGTAGGAGGATTGAAGGTTCTGGGTTCGGCCACTTAGTCGGGTCGTGTGTGTACCCAACTAAGGAGTTCCGGACTGGGATGAAAAAACTCTTCAGTGCTTGATAATTTTTAATGGTACTCTATATGAGATCAGTCTGCAAGGAAATCTACATACAAACCAAATCAACCCCCATAAAAACTCCTACGAACAAAAAATGTAACTATTTCACGAGATAGTAATGATGATAATGAGATTATTTTTATACCGGACATCAATCAATGTGGAAAATAACTTTTATATTTAAAATAAACCTACAGGTTTTCTACTGAACGTGTAAGCAGACAGCAGGCCACCAATATACCTAATATTGAATTCAAACACGGACACCTGAGTGTTCTGTGAAGGAAAAGTTCAAAGTACAAAGAATGAATTAAGTATTTAAAATCTCAAATATTATATAGAGCAATAAATTTGTTGACAGTTAAATTACAACAACTTTTTCTCACATAAGATGAAATGGTGCGATGATGCAGTTTAATTTTAAAGTATAAACATAATTTTAATTTACTACACAATCTTAATGATGAGTAAAAAAGTCCACGTATACAAATGATTTTTTCTCCATATCTACCTAAATATAATGCGGTAAAACGAGGCAGACTGGTGACAATGCACTAGTTAAAACATTTGTTATAAGTAGATGTCTGGATGCTGAATAGCTTGAGTCGAAAAGTTCATCTATCAGTTGAAGCATAGATATTGTGAGCATACTGATCGATGTCTGAATGAGCTGTATAATTGGTGATAGATATAATTTCCGTGAAAACTAGATACTTATAACACGCAGAAAAAAACTGAACAAAACACACCAAATAAAATATTTATCAGAAAGATATAAGAACAATGAGCAAATAATTAGCTATTTTTCACAGGAAATGATAATAATAAAGAGCTACTAAATAGGATTATTACTGACTGATTACGTTGTCTAAACATTAAGTCACAACGGTCCCTAATAAGTTACTGATCAATCGGTGGTTTTAACATTTTCGGGGGAGATATCTTGAAACTATGCAATTCTTCGACAGTTTATCAAAAAAATCGAAACGAATTGCTAAGCAGCAGAATCTAACCTTCACAAACACAGTTGGACGTCTTTATAATATCTTAAATGAGGTTACAACAGTCGACATTTCCACATAGTTAACATCATATTACAACAATCAAGTATGCATTATTATTCACCTTAATCCATTGAATTAACTTCCTTGCTGAATTTATTTATATAATTAAAACGAACAATTCTCTGATCACTTATGATTACTGTGATGGTTTTTTTAATAACCAGAGAATACATATAACAATAACTTCTGTGAACAATTTAGGTTCTGGTCTTTAGTGTCTATCAGAGTTATAATTAGTTGTATACGCCATTGTAATATAAATTTTAAAGAAAAAAACAAAAATTAAGCATTATTGTTATTACTAAGTAATAAATTGTACACTAATCGTTAGTTTTCACTATTATTATTATTATTGTTATAAGCTTACTAAAGTTTGTATAAGAAAACCCAAAGTATGAACATACTACAGTTCATGTGATAGAAATACATAAGTGTATCTATCACTACTAGTAACAGTGTGTATGTACTGGACTAAATACAATATAAAATCTATAAAGATAATTCAAATGAATTCACAGCATTCACCTATTTGCATAAAATAAGAGAAGTGAATAACTCTGTGTTTGTTTGTTCTTCAAACTGGTCATCACATAAAATTGTGAAAATTGTTTTTGTTGATAATAGTCATTTCACTGTATTCGCTTTTTTAAATGTTTTTCTAGTTTATATCAGGTATATATAAATATATTTACTTATTACATCTACGTGCTTTCACAAATTATGAGTAACTGATAAAATCTAATCCAGAGAATAACACTTTATTACTGACGAATGAACGGGTTAGACTATTTGCAGGCAGATTATAATTGTTTATAAATTAGCGTTATGCAGCTACAATAAAACAAAAATTAGAATGACACTGTAAGTTGAACTTCAAACGGATGAATTTTACATAACTTATTGTGATAAATTCAATCGATTGGATCAAATAAACGAAAATAAAACAAGTCATAATGAAATGTGCTGTCTCTTCACTAAAATGTGAACATTGATGATCCATAATCGAAGGGATGATTTGGTATCTTAGATGGTGAATGCCGAGTTCTAATGATAAAACTGACCACAACAAAACATTTAAGCTTATGAATTTCAAGCAGGAAGGGACAATTAACCAAAATTACTTCGATAAATCATAACAAAGGTTATTAAAATACATCTTGCATTATATAAATAAGTTTTATGGCTTTGATTAATTCCATTTCATTCATTACTTTTTATACTTAAAGCTAAGAAAGTTTCTATGCATTTCAAAAATGTATATAAAATGACAGAATCAAAAATAGATACTTTGTTAAAATCCAGATTCATTTCTATCCATTCTACAGCTGTGTTGAATTCTTTGTTCAAATTCATTATGTACAAAGTATCCAAACTATCGACTAAGGAAGCCCCGAGTGGTTCATTTCCAAGTACAAAGGGTAAGTGGTCAGTTTTTGAAAACGGTCTCAATTCATTACTTCCCCATGCATAGGTAACATAACCATTCCAAGCAAACTTCATCATCTAAAGTTTATCAAAAAATACACAAACAAAATGGATTACAACTTGAAAATATACTCTATAATCCTCAATAATTTTAGAATACAGACTTTAAAAGCATAATTACATAAACAAATACAGGGGGCTGAAGATCGATAACTGTACAAGATGGGGCAACAACATTTGGAAAATTTCAATATTTATGCTAAGCTAATGATAAAAGCTGATATAAATTCAGAGACAAAACAGTAAGGCAGTAAATTTTGTAAAGATCGATCTATGACTCCCAAATGTACTATATACATTTTAATCAGATTGCAATTATTTTTCAATTTTTCCTTAAAATAAACAGTAAAGTTGTGTAACACAGACATAACTGACTACTTGTGGACGTCTGAACGACTGTAGTTTCTTTTTAATTTACCTAGTAATTATACTTGGGTAACGCATTATAAGTACGCGTACTTTGCATAGCCTTACTAGAACAGATATTATATTCCATGCAGTTTAATTTCCGCACACGAATATGCTCGAATGAAATTATAAATGATAGTAGCTTGAGTTCAGTAACCGTAAAAAGTAAAGGACTGAGCAGTAAAGAATTATTCATAATTTTACCTCATATTAACAAATATCATAAAGCATTTTACGAGTAAAGATATACTTTATAAATATTTTCGAATACACACAAAGAAACAGAAGACAGAAGAGTTAGTAAGAACATTACAATAATGATTAATTTTGTTGGTTGATAGATAAATTGTAAGATTCCATTAAAATAATACGAACAATTAGTAAATCTTGATCACGTCTACAATAGAAGTGTCGATACATGAGACATGATGTTAAAAGATGGAGTAATTTCTACTTTTAGTTATTAGTCATTTATTAGTATTTGAAACGGAAAACTAATATAGATAACAATCACGCTTTAAACGGGCAAGTTCTGAAGCGACAAATTGAATTTAGAGGAGGAGAAACGGATCCCAAACATCCTTACACTGTTGCTCAGTGCTACCAAAAGACTGCATTTCATCAGCGTCTTCACCAAACACGACTATGTCACTAGTGTATTCTAAGTCGACAAGTGGACCTCCTGGAAGGGAATCAATTCCTGAAAATTCAATCGACGGGAACCTTATTTCAAGTAGTAGGTCTATGGTGAAATTGAACAGAAATGGAGATAGTCGACAGACTTGTCGGACATCCCTTGAGGTTGCGAAATCAGATGACAGTTAGCCACAAGCTCTCACTCGACTGGTAGTGTTCGAGTTAAGAGCTTTCGCAAAATTCATGTACTTTTGAGGTGCGCCTTCCAATGAAAGACACTTTCACATAACCTCTCGCTCTACAGAGTCAAATGCTGCTTTTAAGTCAAGAAAGACCATCATCATCATTTATCTACTTGAACACATAAATATTAGTGCAAAGGGGCACCGAATACATATGCGCCACGCAAGTCACTTGATTTGTGTGTGGCTTGTGATACTGCTCGGGTGCTCAGTCTAAAGCAAGTGAAAGCGTGGCCATAAATGAAGAAAAGGCAACGACGTGTGTCCCTATCCTTCCGAGGTCATTTAGCCGAACAGCACATAGGTAACCGTTAACAGGGTTTCATTCTGAAAATGCTTGCTCTTATGTCATACTTAGTGCTACTACCTTGTATGTGTGTTTCGGAGACACAATATACATCAATCGTATGAGATTCTAGGATTTTAGCCAAAAAGGCTTGCTGGCAGATTCGACACAGGGTACGTAAGTTCAACGCTTCAATGTGTAGTTTGGACCGAGGTTTCAGTAGACCTGGGACAGTGTTTTGAGCACTAGAATCGTTGGCTATGGTAACATATGAGGAGGAAGTCAAAAGAAAGAGGTTTAGGGTTGAGAGTCGACGTAGGAGAAATAACAAGAATTGAAGAGGGAGATAGATTATTATTACAGTGGTCATGAGTGCTGTTAGAGGTGTGAGGGCGGTTATCACTTCTCGGTTGCTCACACTGTGGAAGGGTTGTTCTGGAGGTACCTGAAAAGGAAATCGGGTTAGAGTTGGGCTTAGTGACCTGAGAGCATGACCGCAGTGCTCAACAAACAGCTGCTTGGGGTCGGTCATACACGACCTTTTTGTGAGTAGTTTTCGTGCCAGCTCCGTATTTGTTGGGACCGTACCGTCGGAGACGGTGAGCGTGGGATAAGGCGAAGTGTGCATTTTAAGGGTCGACCTTCTCTAACCCCACCCTTCATTTGTGGGAAGGTAGTATCGCTGTTATGCAGGTTGTCTGAGGGAAACACCTTACTTCCATCACACCTCTGTATAGTCAACAGTACGACTTCACCCTCAGACATTGGGTTTGATTATTTTAGTTTTTCCGCTCTCCAACCGACCTGCCCGGCATGGTAGGATCTTGACGAACGATTGTTCCAGCAAATATAACCTGATTGGCTCATCTCAATAGGCAAGCCCGACCACTACACCAAGGTAGCAACTACTACCGTATATGTCAATGTAAAACTGTAACAAAAACATAGCAACACTACGAACGTACGCACGTACATTTCCATCTAATGGAACAGAATATACGAGTACAGGAAGGAGATTGGTTTATATGGTATGAAAAAACTTACATAGCAATTTTGTTAAATAATCACAAAATGAACTTGGCAGCAAATGGATGTTTATAGTCTAATGTACAATTCAAGCCATATTTCTTTAAACTAGGAAACTTCAACAAGTTCCTCTACAGTAATTTTATCAGTAAACTGAATTTAACCATGAAAGCTTTATTATACCTAATACAATTACAATGATTACACGTAGAATATATCACCTGGGGAATCATAAACACTTGATAATATCCTCTCGATTATTGTATTATTGAATAAAAAAACATTTTGCAATAATAACAGTAACAATGTATATTCTGTGGACTTTTAAAAACACTGTACCAATTTATAGACATGACCAAGTTTCTGTGTTTAAATAGTATGTATAATTGTATGAGTTAATTAAAATGCTACCTTTATAGATATATTAAAGCTTTTAGAAAAATGATTGTACATATATATATTTATGAATTGAATAAATTCATCGTAGATAATATATAGATAACCCTTCTTTTATTATAAATGAAATGTGTTTTTTAACTGACTAAAATTGAACGAAAATGTCAAGTTAGTGTGTAATAAATTTTACACAGAAAATAAAATTTAAAATAACACAGGTTTGATGACTAGTGACACAGAAAAAACAAAACAAGAGACAATGAGTTCCTGACACATTTCAAATCTAGCAGATAAGAGATTGTTTTGTAAACAGATGGATGGTAGCTAGTATTTGAATTCACAACGCCCGTTCCGTCCTACTTGGGGGTCATCAGCTTGATTTGCTTCGACTCCAGAGTTGACGCTCACTCCATGACTCAAACCCAGTACCGTTCGCCTGAAACGTTATAGCGTTATCCAATTCACTACTGAGCCCAAATAGCCACCAGCTTATGCAGTGAGGTGAAGTTTGATAAAGGTACATACAAGTAGAACGAAACATGAGTCCCCTGTTAGCCACCATTCATTATAATGCCTGTGACTTAAGAAAATATCGAGTCAATCCGCACAGAATGAACATCTGACAATAAGAGAGACTGATCAATTGAAGTCCTAAGCGTCAATGGGAAGATTCAGACAATCAACACAAGATGAATCAAAAGATTGTTTTATTTACATTAAACAGAAATCCAGTGTTTCCCCGTTTTCTACGGTGGTCTAGCTTAAATAGACTTGCGATTTCAAATGTGATCACAGTCATCTAAACAACTGGTTTACTTCAGTATGTAAGGTATGGTGAAATTGTATATTTCCTGGCAAGTCTACAAAAATTTATTAACACGAGATGGTGAAAAAAAGTATGGAGCGAAAATATATATCACTTTTGATAGAGGGAGTTAGTAACGGCCAAAGGTTTTAATTGAATGTCATAAATAAGCTTTCAAGATTTCAAACATTAACGGCATAAGAATAGAACAGTATTAATAATGCAAATGGTGCTAAAAACAATGCGAAATATAAATATCTAAATCCGTTTTAAGAAAAACAGTATATACTGGGAACATTTTGAAGAATTTTGAAAGTAGGATCTCACGAAAATGACTGGTATCGAGTAGTAAATGTTGAGAACTAAATCTCTTAAGTGAACTAGGGATAGAGAAAAATCACATTTTAAAAGTCATTCGTCAATATGTTTTGTGCTTTGGTGTCTGAAACATTTCAATTAATGTAACGGTGTATAAATAACAAAACCGTAGATTCATAGCTTACCTCTCGAACTTTATCTCGCATAGAGGCTACTCTTTTATTTGCAGGAACGCCACCTTGAATTTCTTCCTTGGAAATAAGTGTTCCATATTTGAAAGCTACAATTGGCGAAAGATTTTTAGAAATAGGAAGTGTTTGAGTAGGAAGCTTTTTTGCATTTTCTAAAACATCGGATTCTATAGGTATTTGTGCAGGTGGTTGGATTTGACGAGAATCCTGGTCAGACTCTGGAAGGTTAGGTGGAGGTCCGATTATCGGTGGCTTTGGGAATTTAGGAACCTTATAAAGAGAAAAATTACACGGAACGATTTCTTTAATATTGAAATCGATTGTAAAAAATATTGGATGAGTAGGAGTTTTTGGTAATGCACTGGAAATATATTAATATATGAGTGACATACTGAAACAATTCCTGGAAATGCTAAATTTACTCGTGAAATGTTTATAAAAACTGTAATGGTTACAAAATTGTCAGAAAAAGGTCGATCTAAGTCTGAGTGAGTATACAACTAGTCATTGTATAGGAATTTTAACGGTAAATAAAAATTTGCAGTACCTTGAATACGCTAACAGGGTTTTTAGTGTACCAAAAGTGAATCTCGTAATGCGTGTTTAGCAATTTTGGGAATTTAGACGACTTAATGACAAGTTAAGTAATCAAAAGAAATAACACCGAAAAAAGTAATTATCAGAGAAAAATCTAATATTCCTAAATCTGTACGAAGATAAAACTCAGTACAAGACTTAGAAATCTAAGATGATTGTAGTATTTAATTTCAAAATGTTTCACACACTTTTTTTTTAATTTTATGACCGAATGAAACAAGTTGGATTGAAGCTTATCTACTTTGATCATTCCTTCCATCAACGAGAAGGCAAGATGTTCATCATCCATGTGAAGCACCGTTTCCATCATAGCCATAGTCGGCAACAGAACTTCATTTACAAACATCTTGTTTTAATTTTTACCGCTCTCGTACCGAAGTGCTTGGTATGAAAAGACTACGAAACAAATGTTCCAATCAATATAACCTGATTAGTTTGTTACATTTGACAAGCCGAACAAACAAGTCAACTTAAAAGCTATTATTTATTATCGACACAAGAGACCAAGTAGTGAAGGTTTAACAGAGTAGCACTTGTACTATGTACCTCTTTGGGGATACACATTTTCTAATATTTCTCAGTCAACAGAAGGCGTCCCACAGATAGAACATAAACTAATTTTGACTGGCTGGATTATATTTATTTTATTTATTTATTTTAAGACATAGATATTAGTACAAGGAGACACCAAATACATATGCGCCACACAAATCTCATTCGATATGTGTGAGGGCTGTGATACTGCCCGGGTGCCCAAACCGAAGCACGTGGTTTTCTTAGGGGGCCACCCCCCGAGCCTTCGACCTGAAAGTCTGATCCACAAGACAGTGGAGCATCGTAATGAGATGCAGTCCCATGGAAGCCGGTGACCAGCAGTTGGTTCATACGCCATTTGTTCCCGCAGGATACTGGAGCCCATGTGCACCATCGGTTTGGAATCCAGTTAAAGAGCCGGACATTCGCTTTTCGTCCTCTCAATTTCGTAAACAACACCCCCGCCACGAGAAGGCAGTGAGTAGGACTTCCCTGGCAGAGGCTATATACGCGTGGCCATGTGAGAGCATTTCGCGAGGGAGAGCGGACTCTCAATAAAGATATGGAGTTACACGTGTACGTGAACACTTATTTTCATGAACGGTACCGATTAGTAAAATGGATGCTCAAAATCATTGTTTCTTATAATTATCAGAAAAAATGCACAAAGTAGAAATTATTCAGGAATCAGTATAGTATGTTCAAAATCCTATTACATTTATTTATAGTAATATAACGAAGCTTATCATGCAATTAGAGACTTAGTAAATTTAAGCAGTAAAGATAATAATGATAATTTTGTTTATATGATTAATTTATAATATTCGAATTCCATAATGATCACGTTCACTTATACATGACACTGGATTCAAATTCAACTACTGAATGTATATATATATATATATATATATATATATATATATATATATATATATACAAAACGTGGTTTAAGTAATTTGTTAAAAATTAATTAATTAACTCTTTTGTGAAATGAGTTTACTTAGATCATTAATTAGAATAGATAAATATTTTCTATTGTATTTTTGTTCAATTAATCTTCTATTGGTGAAGTTGATAATCAGCGTTGAAGTCAAATAATGATTACTAAATTGAGATATGACATTGTTAACATAAATATGATGAATAGTTGGTTGATATAAGTGAGGTCTGTGTTTGGAAATTTTATTATGATGCTGTTCTAAATCACTTGCAATAATGCCTAAATATTTATTTTGTGGCGCATATATATTTGGTGCCCTCCTGTACCAATATTTATGTGTTCAAATAAATAAATAAATAAAAATATTTACTATTTTCCTTTCTTTTAGTCTTGAATATGATAAGATTCAAAATACAATTTTATCGATTCTTCAGTGTCAAATAGCAATCTATTCTTATTGCTCATGATCACAGATGATGTATAAAAGGTGTCCACTTAAAGCACAGACCAAACGTTGATATTTTAAGTAATAAATCAATCAAAGATGTTCCAATAAATTTATGTTTAAGTAGCCATTTATTCACATCACTGAGTACCTTACTAACAGATATTGAAAATTACAGAGAAAATTTACTTACCTCTTCATAAAAGTAGCTAAGTAAACTTGTTATGACAAAGATTATTATGACAGCTAGAATTAAGTGAAAAATACGTCGACATCGGAAACTTCGGATTCGTAATTTCCTATAATAAAAAAAAGAAAAAACAAATCAAATCGGTATGATCGCAAATCAACTAGTTGGATATTAAGGCACTCATCTTTGAGAAACAAGAATATTCAAGAAGTGAAATTTTGTTAAGCAGTAAACTTAGTTAAGCATGAACAAGCGACTGATCACGATGTTACAAATGTCTATAAAACCAGTAAAGCACAATACCGAATATATCTTTCTTTTCTATGATCACGCTAACTTGAATCACCACCCCTTAAAAGTTTGTTCAATAAATTGTTACATTCGTTATATAAGAAATTACATATAACCACTTATAGGTAAGTCAAGATTCTAATATATGACAAACAAATTGAAAGACGTTCGCTTAGATCTTAGTATTGTAGCCTCATGTCACTATGATATTTGAAACTCAGAAAAATGCATCTTTTGAATTTTAAACCTAGAGAATTGCTTTGATAGAGTTGGATAACATTAGAGCCGATGGTGCGTATTCAAACTTTTAATACCCATTTGTATGTTATGAGGACGGAGAACGTTGAAACCATTACAAGTATGACAAACTGGTATACTGATGAATGTGTGCTTTAATGACAAACATTTTTGTACAAAAGGTGAGTAAATTCGACTTAACAGCTAATTGGTCTTAGTCATTGAATAAAAAGTATAAGTATATGAAAATATCAACTACTAGGCTTTTACGAACGTTAAAACCGAGATGTGATCAGAATAAACCACCAAATAATACAATGACCAACAAATTAGAATTTACATTGTGCAGAAATAAAAACACTAACACATTCATTAGTCGTTTCTATTGATGCTAAGACAATTTAATATGTATGGGTATTTGGCGTGATCTAAGTGATTGGCCAAAAAGGACAAGATCTTAAGAAAGGAATTTGAGTTATGGAAGTGGTTAAAATAAAATTCAGGAACGAGCGTTAGATTCTGTGTTTGCAGAGTGGATAAATTTACAGAATGCTAATTATCTGCCATTATAAGTTCTAAATTATCGTCATATAAAAAGAAACGGAAAGAGTAGAAATCTACATATAGAATGGGTACATAGGTGAACTCATTTTATTATTCTCTGAAGAAGCGACTTACACTAAGCCACGAAACGTCAGAAAAATCCAATTGTCTACTCATTGGGATATTACAAATATATTATTTTTATCATTTTAGAATGATAAACAAAAACGTGAAATATTGTGTAGATCAAAACAACAGAGGTTATTGTTTACAAATTGGACCGCATTATAACGAAAAGAATAACAGTTAATGGTTGAAGTTCTAGATTCACAGGGTGGTGGATGACGTTAGAAAATTAAAGAATGTTAGGTTCCACGTTATACAATTTCTAATTATTTTGAATGTGCCAACAGATAAATTATTCATCCTATTTACAGATGAGAAGAATAACACAACTACGTGTGACTGACAGTTAGATCTTTTTTGTCACTCAGTCATGGATTTCCATCGAATATGATAAGTTGGTGAGTTATTCTTCGAACAAATGACATTGCGTTCGATAATATTATCTCCCATTACCAAACTAAGAATATTGCACTTATATATATAAACTACGCGAAGCAGTAATTCATAGCAAACTATGTGACACACAAACGACTATTCGGATACTATAAAAACATTGGTATCTGAGTGAGAATTACCAAATACACACGTGACAGCTCAAAAGCGAATAAAAGGCTGTAGATATTTTTTACGTCAAATTCTGTTAAGAATAAAACACACAGTTGCATAAAACAGTGAATACCGAGTTTATAAAAGACTTTAGTTACAAAACCCGTCACTGATGGGACTGAATGACTTCAACCTTTTACCAAATACAAGTAAGGCCAGAAACAATTCTGAACCAAACAATTGTCCAATCATCTTCAAATACTAAATTTGTTTATGATGTGAAGTGTTTTCGGATTACGATATATGGTGTTCTAAATGTATGCTATTCTTATCCGAATCTAATGATAATGTGAAAATTTAGGCCATGGCCATGATCACACTAGTCAATCTGTTATTATCTTAAAGTAAAAAAATACACGATTATATATGGAGTTTGTCAGTGTGTGTTGATTCAAATAGTCGTTGGTGTTGTAGTATTGTGTAAATCAATGGTAATCGGATGAATTAAAGTAAAATAATTAACTAAATAATTGAATGTACTATGTTAGGTATGAAAGGACAGAATATCACTTACTAATCAACATTTACTAAAGTGCACCTAGCTACATACCATCTCATCTATTCAGATTTTTCGGATTTATCTATGTATGAAAGTATTTGTTTAGCATAGCTTTGGTCTCAAAGTCGATTTTGTGTTACCTATCTACTGAATGTATCGTTACTGGTGATGTCAAGCTAAATGACCATTTAAGGATTAAGAGTTTTAAACATCATTATATCCCCTAGCACTTACAATCAATTGCCTGAATGTCTCGCGGACATTACAATTACTGCATTTAGTTCTGCAGTTCCTGTTTGGATATCGTATCCTTGATATTTACTTGTGTAGAATAGAAGATCAATGATACGGAAACGCAATTTTACATGTTTATTTGGAATTATGGTGTTCTCGGATTTATCTTGATGGTATGAGACGATAGTCTTAATCGAAACTGTTGGTGGATATTTTGATTTAATTCTACTTTCATGTTAATTATACTTCGTACAAAATATTTGGAATGATTATTTAGTCCTTAGGGTAGATATGATTAAATATTATCCAATCCATTTACCTTGTGGTTCGATAACAAGATAAAAACCTCTGATAATCAGATTTTTAGCAACTGTTACTTTTATTGGTAAAGCATACGTTGGAATTCATCCTGAATGTATTTCTAAATATGTTGGATTGAAGAAAATACCAACTTTCATGTGATATTATAATCTTTTTTAATTGACTAGTCGAAAATGCTAGTTTGTGGCTAACCGATTAGATCTTGTAGGCAAACTTGATGTTACTTGATATAATGTTCACATTATTTAAAAGGTCCATTCAATCCATCTAATTTCATAATGACTAAAATATTATCTGTAAACTGAAACCAGAATTTTTGACGGGACTGTGTACACTACAATGATAATACACCTGTTCATAGTAAATACATAAAAATTCAGATCGTCACAAAAGCTATTAATCAATGTATATCCCTTCGAAATATGAATGACACGAAATTTATGTACAGTGTTAAGCTTGTAATAAGCTCAAAGAGTGTCCCAAGTTACAACGCAAATTTACGTTTTCATAACATTTTAAATATTCTTAAATTATAACCAACGATTTCCTCATCGATGAATGAATAAATAAAGAGTAACCATTAAACATTCCCACTACTTCAATTTCTTCAATACGTGTTGAAGTTGTTTTATTCTTCAATTCATTTTAAATTTTGATTTCATAAGTCATTTCTCTTTCATCAGACTTGCTGATTTTGCCCGGGTATTTTGGACGATGTTAAGTCTATGACTTTGTGGATTAAATCACTTCCTGTGGGTTTTTAGTGTTCGATAAAATTTACAAAAGTAGGAGCCCCTAGATGACTATCTAAGTATATAATTATGATCGTGGTAATAGCCTAAAATGTCACATAACCATTAAATTCGGATAAGAATGATATACATTCACACATACATTTAGAACATCATATATCGTAATCTGAAAACATTTCACATCATAAACAAATTTAGTGTTTAAAGATGACTGAACAATCGTTTGGTCCAGAAATTTCTTGGCCTTATTTATCTTTGATGATTTTGAATGCTTCGCTGAACAAGATTGAGAATCACAGAATAAAACGTTAAAACTTTCAAATTCCCTTCGCGGTGATTTCAAGATTTTAATTTCACATCTAATATGTGTCCCGTCGGTATTACTATAATACGATCCATAATTGGACATTAAGATCATGAAAGTATTACGTAAAGATATCCTAAAAAATTACATCAACGGTCAACAGACAAATGTCCTATTGCCAAAAAAACACAAAACATATAAGATTATTCATTAACTTTTCGAATTTTATGTGCCATAGACGAATGGAATAAAAAGTTTATTAGATACGCACACATAAACAAAGATTTACACACCCACTAAAGTAAAGCAGTCTCTTAAGCAAGCTTGATATAAGCGATTTAATGAAGTAAATAATTAATTTAAATCAGAAAAATTGTGTTGAATGAAATCAAAACTTAGGTCGAATTCAATTTTCTAAATTAATTCAAGATAAACAATAAGTATCATATATATTTCTCCAAATGACAAGTCTGAAAAGCAACTGAAAGTGCAAAAAACGAGAAGTTAGCATCACTTTTAGGACGTTCTAAATTTACAGCAGGAACAGAAGCTATTCAAACGAATGTAAACAAATACTATTTTAACCTAATTATATGTAATGCTACTCAGAGATTACGTCATATTATTGATTTTTCAGATTCATTTGTACATCTGTATGTATTAGGTTACAAAGTATACATACATTATTTAAGAGTTATAGATGCTTTTACAAATGTGTAAGTTGAAATGATTATGAACATGTGATACACAAAAGCAAAAGTCATCTACATAGACTTCTAACTGAATCATACGTCTATGAAATCATTTTGGAAATAATGGAGCATAAAAAGCTTATAGAAATCGACAACCACGAAATATAATGCCACTCAGCATATGCATTAAGAATGAAAAAGCAATAGGCAATACCGCATAACATAACCAATGTGGACAATCACAAACAGAATATTTAATTTATTGAAATAAGTGTGATTCTTCGTAAAAAAAAGAACAAGTTATATTTACAAAAGATGCAAAGCTTTAGATATATAAATGCGATAGAAGATTCTTACTTTTCGTAAAATGCAAAATCGAAAATTTAGTTCAGGACAAATAGAAAAAGTAATATCCACTAAGAGGGCATTGATGATAGGAAAAAAACTACTACTTGACAAATCGTACAAAACTCGAGAAAGATTGACTCGCGAGGAGCAGGCTGGTTTTCGTTCTGGTCGAGGATGCATTCATCATATCCACCCTCCTCAAAAAGTTAGGACATCGTCATACCTATCACAGACCAACAGTCGTAGTGTTTCTTGACAATAAGGTTGCCTTCGATTCGTTGGACAGGGTTGTTATCTGGGATTGTCTATTGAAGATGGGTGTGTCTGAGAAGTTTATTAACATCTTGAAAGCCCTTTATACAAACACCTCAGGTAGTGAGGGCATACAATCACCTCTCTCCACTGTTCCGTTTAAACAGTGGGGTTAAACAGGGTTGCTTAATCTCACCATTGCTCTTCAACTTTGCCATCGATGATGCTCTGGAAACAGATCTGATGGATGTAAGTAATGGTGGTGTGGATCTGTTGCCTGGAGACTTTTAGACCTTGAGTATGCGGATGATATTGTCCTACTGTACGATGATACCCTAGCTATGCAATCTGCACTTGGTCAGTGGGCAATCAGTGTCCGTAGGTTATGGTATGTGCTTTGCACCTTCGAAGTACAAAATACTTTTACAAGACTGGCAGGACCCTGAACCTGCACTCACTCTGGATAGTGAGCAAATAGAAGTAATCGAGAAGTTCGTGTATCTGGGTAGCTGCATAAGTGCTGGTGGTGGCGTGGGTAATGAGATCAATTCACGTCCAGCTAAAGCCAGAGCGGCTTATGTCAATATGGGCCATCTTTGGAGCCTTTACGACGTTAGTCTGACTGTAAAAGTTCGGATCTACAACGCATCGGTGAGAACAGTTTTGATCTGTGCTTATGAAACCTGGTCTCTTCGAGTTGAGAATGTTAAGTGACTCCCTTTGTTTGATCACTGCTGACATTTAGTGGCAACATCATGTCAGTAATACAAGGGTTTGGCAACGTGCGTTCGGGCAGTAACGATAATTGGATCGGTGTCACTACCTGGAAAAACCAAAGTCGGTGTTTCTCACATGTGCTACGAATGTCGTCCCAGCGAATTCCACATCACGTGTTAACTGCAGACGCTAGGACTGGTTGGATAAAGCGGAGGTTGTCATTACATGACATGCTAACGTGTGAAAGTGGTAAATGACAGTAACTTATCAGACCTTCACATAGCGTCTTAAGACGCTACTAGATATGGCTAAGAATAGAACCCAGTGAGGGTCCTGTTGAACTTTTCTTTTTATTTCTTCACGTGAGTGGATCTTATTTGACTGAAAGGATCTTTTCGAACTGCATTCTTAACTGAACTGTTTCCCTGTTACTCTTTTTACGCTTATTCATTTATTTTTTATTGATTACACTGACTTCCCCTTCCTTATCTCTTTGCAATCGCATTTTCTTATTGCGTGGCGCATATATATTTTGGTACCCCTTTAGACCAGCATTTATGCTGTAAATAATTGTCTTTCGAAAGATTCCTTTGACATGAAAATAGGTTCTAATTTAAAAACGATCGAAGTCTCAAAACTAGAGTAACTTATTGTTAGCGGGACATAGACTAGGTTAAAGCAAGCTCAATGCACGATTGCTTTGGTGCACGCTGATTGGCTAATTCTTACCCAATCACCACTAGTCGATAGTTGGAGAATACTCTAGAATCTTCTCATGTAAAAACTATAAATACACTGACGTTTTCCCTATTGCGCTTCTGGCTTGCATCTTGCTTCCATCTAACCTTGTTATTTGGAATATAATCTCTTTCCTGTTCAACCGTGTTCTGATTTGGGGTCTTGTCGAGTGATTTAGTGTCCAAGAATACTAAGCAATAGGAATAGCTGGGTCATAACCGTAAGAAGAGAGAGATTTCTAACACTTACCTACTTCATAATCCCACCCATAAAGTGAATTATACGATAAAAATTCTCAGGAAACATCGTATTAACTTCTCATTCGCTATGAGACTAGAAAGGTTAATACGAGGTACACTATGTATTTAGATGTGAAAACAATGATCCTGGAGGAGTTAATTAATCTAAGCATAACACAAATATGTACCAACACAGTTGCTTATGAACGCGCAAAAAATTTAGACTTACATATTTTCCACTATAGATAAGGAGTCTGCATCCACACCTGAAATGGTAATTCACGAAAAACTTAAGTTATATTTAAAGCAATCGTAGATGACTTTGCTAAAATCTTTCATAAACAATGCAAGACCATGGAAATACGGAGTTTAAGTCAAATAATTCACATTAATGGAGAAGCATCTGAGTCAGTTAGTCATCTATAACGTTGGGTCAGGCACATAAATGCATCGGTCCAAGATGTCACACATCATTAGCACAACATCAACAAAGTCATTGAACCACTTATTTCAATGGTAGTAAAATATATGAAAAAAGATTGAATATAAGGATATGATGCAAGAAGAATTAGGTTGTAGAAAGAAAGGTACAAAGTGATTTTATTGTCGCGGTTTAAGGGAAGACAAAGAGTGCATACACCTACACTATCCTCATCGATTCTGAGCAATGACACAAACAGTCTCCAACCAACGGTTTTAAGACAATTACGAGGATCTCAACAGAGAAGTCTGCATCTACCAGCATGGCTCAGACTAGAAGTTAGTGACCTGGTGGAATGATGCCACGTTTTGATCTGGCCATATCTAACGTTCTTCCATCCGTCTCCAACACTAGTCAGTAATGTGTTCCGTGGTATTCGGTGGTTGGGCGTGTGAAATACGTGACCCAACTATCTAAGTCCATGAAAATTCACAACCACATAAACCGATTTGCTATCATTCCCTAATACTATGAGTCTCACCTCACCATTACTTACTCGGTGACCCCAGCAAATGTGAGCGATATTTCCAAGACATCGGTGACAAAATACTAGTAACTTACGAGTATTATCTATCCTTAATAGTCACTTATAGCAGACATAACGTAAAACGAAACGAACAGATGCGCAGTATATTCATTCTTTAATTGATAGACGGATATCTCGTCTTAGGTGACATAAGTTGAAAAAATCCAAACGACCTTTTTGAATCCATGTAGAAATTTCATCAAACACCAACCAATTAGGGTTGGTCAGACTTCACTCTCTATCCTTAGTTCAAGTGTTGATGCAGGTAAGTCCTGGAGCAACAAATTGAATTTAGAGGAGGAGAAACGGATCCCAAACATCCTTACACTGTTGCTCAGTGCTACCAAAAGACTGCATTTCATCAGCGTCTTCACCAAACACGACTATGTCACTAGTGTATTCTAAGTCGACAAGTGGACCTCCTGGAAGGGAATCAATTCCTGAAAATTCAATCGACGGGAACCTTATTTCAAGTAGTAGGTCTATGGTGAAATTGAACAGAAATGGAGATAGTCGACAGACTTGTCGGACATCCCTTGAGGTTGCGAAATCAGATGACAGTTAGCCACAAGCTCTCACTCGACTGGTAGTGTTCGAGTTAAGAGCTTTCGCAAAATTCATGTACTTTTGAGGTGCGCCTTCCAATGAAAGACACTTTCACATAACCTCTCGCTCTACAGAGTCAAATGCTGCTTTTAAGTCAAGAAAGACCATCATCATCATTTATCTACTTGAACACATAAATATTAGTGCAAAGGGGCACCGAATACATATGCGCCACACAAGTCGCTTGATTTGTGTGTGGCTTGTGATACTGCTCGGGTGCCCAGATCGAAGCAGGTGGTTTTCTTTGGGAGCGACGCCCGGAGCCTTCGACTTATAGATCTGATTCACAAAGCAGTGGAGCAACGTTAGGTGATGCAGACAATGACAGTATAGGGGGCTATTTGAATGTTCTATTCAGGCTGTTTTGAAATAGTGGGTAGTTGTAAGGTCGCTGAAGGCCAGCTGAAGTGTTCCCTAAAGCGTTCCACTCATCGTTCTAAACACGAGCTGAGAGCAGATAAGCATCGTCTAACGTACATTTGAGTTATTAATCCGAATTTCTATTATTATTCTGAAAAGCTGTCTGGTGTTACCTGCAGCCGCTGCCTTTTCCATCTCTTTTGCTTCCGTTGCCAACCACTGCTCACGGTCGTTCCCTAGACTCTTGGTTAGCCTACATCTGATTAGTTTTCACTCTTTATCGCATTCAGAGCCTGATGGGATGAGTTTACGTAAATCTATCAATGCAATAGACTTAGGTGAAATCAACTGGTTTTTTGATACCCTATGGTTCAAATTACTAATAGATACCGCTGCTGTTTGCACTTTATATATATATATATATATATATATATATATATATATATATATATATATATATATATATATATATATATATATATAGTGCCCCTTTGTACCAATATTTGTTTAAATAAATCAATAAACATAGACCAGTTTGAGTGGCTAGATTGAGAAATGAAAGTATAAAAATATCACAACCAGTTACACTAAAAATGTAGCTTAAGAGAATCTAAGTAAAGGACGGTTTTCTTATACAATCTCCGCAAACCCCCTTTCTGGTAGTACATATCTGTTACTCCAACAGAAAAGATACTTTCTTTTTGTAAACCAAACAATATAACTGAATAAATTCGTACTAACCATTAGTTATAATTAGTACAAAATGTAATGGAAGATCAGTAAATTGTTTATCTTAGCAATAACACCACAGATTGCACAGAGATATGAACTAAACTATTTATTGAGGTCTGATGATACTAAGATATAGAACAGACTGAAGGTACACATGCTATTTCTAATTCCGGTTCGTTCGCAGCTAATAAATGCTAAAAAAGTGTTAATGACTGATAAAAGAGCCAGTTATACTGCTTAAAAGTCGTGATATTGCCACTAATTTGTAAATATAGAACTGAGTAATATTTTAAGAAGCAACTGCGACCACTTTTTTCACCTACCCGATCGAAGCTGCTACCTTGACGCGGTGGTCGGGCTTGCCTATCGTGATGACTCAACCGAGCTATATTGGCTGGAACATATGTTCCTGCAGGTTCTACCATGCCAGGGAGTTCGATTGGAGAACGATAAGACTAAAAGCAGCAACTCAAGGTCTGAGGGCGAAGTCGTACTGCTGACTGTAGAGAGGCCTGACAGCAGTAAGGTGTTTCCCTCGGACAACCAGCATGACAGCGATGCTGCCTTCCCACAAGGAGGGGTGGGGTTAGAAAAGGTCAACTCTAAAAATGTCACACCTCACATTACCTCACGGATTTCCGTCTCCGGTGGTAAGGCCCTTTGAAGAACGGAGCTAACACGTCAAAAACCTTCCACAAAAAGGCCGTGCGCGACCGGCCTCAAGCAGTTGTCCCTTGGGCTCTGCGGTCACGCTCCCAGGTCGTTAAGACCAACACTAATCCAATTTCGTTTTTAGGTTCTTCAAGAAATACCCTCAAGAAATTCCCGGTCTCCTGAAATCACGCTCTAAACTACACGTAGGAGCTTTTAACGTACGCACACTGTGCCAAATAGGACAGCAGGCTTCCTTAGCTAGGACTTTAGAATCTCGCGCCATCAATGTGTGCTGCGTCTCCGAAACGCGCATACAGGATTCGAGTAGCGTCATTCATTTGACCTCACCATGCCAAAATAAAGAACCGACTCGATTTATGCTTCGTGTATCTAGAAGCCCTGATTCTGCTTCCCGTGGCCTCGCCGGCGTAGTTATAGCATTGAGTCCTGGGGCAGAACTAGCTCTTTTAGACTGGATCCCAGTAGACAGTCGTTTGTGCGCTGTCCGACCAAACGGAACAGTAAGGATCCGAAAAGATAGGGACACTCGTCGTTGCCTCTTCGTCGTCTCTGCCTATTCTCCCACTGACTGCAGCTCAGATGATGCAAAAGATGAGTTTTACAGAAAGCTCTCCGACCTTCTCCGAAAAGCTAGGCGCTCGGATGTATTAATAATGGCCGGTGACTTTAATGCTCAAGTAGGTAAACTAAGCGATAGGGAAAGACACCTAGGTGGATCTTATGGTGTTGTGGCTCAAAGAACAGATAATGGCGACCGTCTGTTGCAGCTATGCTCAGATAACCGCCTGTTCCTTGCAAATACTAACTTTAAGCATAAGGAAAAACATCTTTTAACATGGCGACCCCCTAATTCGTCCCAACGTTGGACCCAAATAGATCACATCGCTATCAGCCACCGATGGAGGGGCTCGATAGAAGACTGTCGCTCATTCTGGAGCACATGCTTAGATTCAGATCATGCTCTAGTACGAGCGCGTATCTGTCTGCGTCTTACTGGACGTAGGAAAGACGCTGCAAGGAAACCTCTTAGGGCCCTACTTAATGATAGTCAAGCTAAGAGTATATTTCAGGAACAACTAGGAAAACAGTTAGGCAGCCATGTATGTGATGCCCACCCCGAGGCTGCATGGAATGATATCCGAAAAGCTGTGGAAACAGCAGTGATATCTGCTAGTAAGGTAGACCAGAAGGTTAGGGAGCAACACTGGATCTCAGCAGCATTTATTGCACTGATAAATGCTCGGGAACTCATTCCACCTGGCTCTAAACATAATGAAGAGCGGGGTCAGCTTAAGCGCAAGCTGACAAGAAGTCTACGCAATGATCGTGAACAGTGGTGGGTAGCGAAAGCAAGAGAGATGGAAAAAGCAGCGGTAATAGGTAATAGCAGACAATTGTTCAGACTCGTTAAGGAAACCGGTATAAGGAAACCGACTATTAGCGAAACTATCTCAGAGAAAGATGGACATATTATTCATTCTCAATCCAGGAGATTGGATCGATGGGCAGAACACTTTAGGGATCAGTTCAACTGGCCTTCAGCCACACTTCGGTTTCCCACGATCTCCAGTCAACCTGAATGGCAAGTTAATGTAGGTCCTCCGTCCCTTTACGAAGTTGAAAAAGCCATAGGAAATCTGAAACGAGGGAGAGCAGCAGGCCCTGACAGGTTTACTCCTGAGATTTTCAAGGATGGTGGTCCAGTATTAACAATGAGATTAACTGAGGTCTTAGGTAGAATTTGGGAACTGTACGTAATCCCATCTGACTGGACTCAATCACTGATTGTGCCAGTCTATAAGAAAGGACAAAAGTCCTCTTGTGACAATCACATAGGAATCAGTTTGACTAATATAGTGTCTAAAATATTAGCCTCAATATTACTTGGACGCCTAATCAAAGCTCGTGAAGAGCAGATTAGAGAAAACCAGGCCGGTTTTCGACCTTGTTAGCGGGATATAGACTAGATTAAAGCATGCTCAATGCATGATTGTTTTGGTGCACGCTGATTGGCTGATTCTTATCCAATCAGCACTAGTCGATAGTCGGAGAATACTCTGGAATCTTCTTATGTAAAAACTATAAATATACCGACGTTTTCCCCTATTGTGCTTCTGATTTGCTATTTGGAATATAATCTCTTTCCTGTTCAGCCGTGTTCTGATTTGGGGACTTGTCGAGTGAATCGGTGTCCGAGAATACTAAGCAATAGGAATAGCTGGGTCATTACCGTAAGAAGAAAAAGAGATCATACAGTGGCGACGGGGAAAAACTAAAGAAAAATGGCGATTTCTTTAGAACAGTTGCGGTTAATATTACAGCACCAGCAGAAGTTGTTAGCCTTGCAACAACAACTATTGAACACACTTTTCACTCGACCAGAAAATAAGAAATCTGTTTATGATGCAGTAACAGACATTTCAGAAGCATATCTAGTGGAGGGTTCAAATCCCTTTATACCTGAATCAGAACGTAATATTTGTAACGTGTCCGGCTCACAGCAAGAAAATACTGTGCTGAATGCTCATAAAGTTGTGGCAATACGAAATGATCAAGAGCCAGACCCTAAGAAGAAGCATAAACGTCCTCGACATGTGAAATCAGCCGAATCTAAATCTCTTTCTCTGGTAGCTCCTTTTCAAACAAACTATGACATTCGGAGAAAGTATGTTACCATCCAGATAAACGGCATATCAGCTCGTCTTCAAATTGACACGGCATCAGATATCACGTTAGTGTCTAGAGAAACGTATAACTTGCTGGGTAAACCGCCAATGAAGCCATCTAAGAAAACGGCTAAAAACGCATCAGGTGGTGTGCTAAAACTGGTTGGTGAATTACAGTGTGAATTTTCCTTCAATGGAACTAACTGTACAGGAATATGTTACCTAACAGAACGGCCGAACCTTGATCTTCTTGGTCTAGATATGCTAGACAAACTTGGAATAATGGATATACCAATTAACAGTGTCTGTAATGTATCGTGTTCATCATTGGACACCCCATTACTTCCAAAGAAGACAGGTGAACGGTTACTAGAAAAACTGAAAAGAAAGTTTGCCTCTGTTTTTCAGAATAGCCTTGGCCACTGTACCAAGATGAAAGCGCACTTACCAGTGAAACCAGATGCCATACCTATTTTTCGCCCGAGACGTCCTGTGCCATATGCTGCTCTTGAGCTAGTCGACCAGGAACTTAATCGCTTGCAGCAGGCTGGTGTAATCCGACCAGTTAACTACTCTGCATGGGCCGCACCGATTGTAGTGATTAAGAAGGCCAATGGGACTATACGCATATGTGCCGATTTCTCGACCGGTTTAAATGCTGCATTAGATGTATATCAATATCCCTTACCAGTTCCGGAAGACCTGTTTGCCAAGCTTAATGGTGGGACATGTTTCGCGAAAATAGACTTCTCCGATGCTTATCTCCAAGTGGAAGTAGATGAAGATAGTAGAGAGCTTCTGACCATTAACACTCATCGAGGGTTATTTCAATACACCCGTCTACCATTTGGCATCAAGACCGCACCCGCCATCTTTCAGCAAATAATGGATACGATGCTAACAGGTATACCTGGTACAGCAGCTTATCTAGATGATATCATAGTTATGGGTTCAACTGACAGTGAACTTTCTGATCGACTACACCAAGTCCTTAACCGAGTGTTGGAGTATGGTTTCCAACTACGTGAGGAAAATGTATCTTCTTCATGCATTCGATCAAATACCTTGGTTTTATCTTAGATAAGAACGGTCGCCGACCAGACCCTGCCAACATCGAAGCCATTCAGAAGATGCCTGCACCAACTGATGTTTCTTCATTAAGATCCTTCTTGGGGTTAATCAGTCATTACAGCACATTCTTGCCTGAAATGCACCGAGTGAGAGGTCCCCTAAATGAATTACTATCGAAAGATAAACCTTGGCAGTGGTCAGCAGAATGTCAAGCATCTTTTGACAGAGTCAAATCAATGCTCAGCTCAAAGATTCTTTTGACGCACTTCGATCCCAGCTTGGAAATTGTTGTTGCATCTGATGCCTCTAGTCATGGAGTTGGAGCAGTGATATTTCACGTGTTTCCGGATAAATCAGAGAAGACAATTGCCCATGCTGCTAGATCACTTACTCCAGCCGAGCGAAACTACAGCCAAATTGAAAAAGAAGCTCTTGCAATCATTTTCGCAGTCAAAAGATTTCATAAAATGCTCTATGGTCGTACATCTACTCTACTGACAGATCACAAACCTTTGATTGCAATCTTTGGTTCTAAGAAAGGAATCCCTGTCTATACGGCTAATAGACTACAGCGCTGGGCAACAATGCTCCTGAGTTATGATTTTAATATCAAGTATCAGTCGACAAATACTATCGGTCAAGCTGACGCTCTCTCCCGATTAATTGGAGTTCAACATCCTGGACCAGAGGATATAATCATTGCCTCCACAACAGTAGACCCAGAAATACGAAGTATAGTGGCAGATGCCATTCGAAACACTCCAGTGTCGTTAGATGAAGTCAGGGAAGAAACGCTTTGAGACCCAACACTACAAGAAGTTAGAAAGTTCCACCTAGAAGGGTGGCCCTCGAAAATCTATTCCACAGACCTTCAACAGTTTTACCAGCGAAGACTCTCTCTTTCAATCATCGATGACTGTCTGCTGTTTGCCGAACGTGTCATAATTCCCAGGAAGCTACAACCAGCAGTGCTTGGACAATTGCATGCAGGACATCCTGGAATAAATCGCATGAAAGCACTAGCACGAAGTTATGTATACTGGCCGCATTTAGACACCCAACTGGAGCAGCTATCCCGTTCGTGTACCAAATGTGCATTAGCAACAAAAGCACTGCGAAAAGCAGAGCTGCAATCATGGCCAATACCACAGTCACCGTGGCAGCGTATACATTTGAACTTTGCTGGTCCACTTCATGGACAAACTTACCTTTTGATGGTTGATGCATATAGCAAGTGGCCAGAAATTTTTCTCATGGAACACCCGACTGCAAGCTGCACAGTCAGTAAACTACGTCAACTATTCAGTCGTTTTGGAATCCCGGAATTGATAGTTAGTGACAACGGAACACAGTTTACGTCCGAAATCTCACAATTTTGTCGGCAGAACGGAATCCAGCACATCCGAACACCTCCATACCATCCCCAATCAAATGGCCAAGTGGAACGCTTTGTGAGTACATTTAAAAATGCTCTAAAAAAATCCAAAGGGGAAGGGACCACTAAAGATATCTTAGAGAGGTTCCTGTTTATTTATCGTTCTACACCGAACCCTCAGACAATTAACGGGCTCTCTCCAGCAGAAGCTCTACATGGCAGAAAGATACGTACACATTTCGATGTCATCCGTCCTACGCCAGCTATTGAGCCCCAACGAAACCTATCGATGGGGAATCAGTTTAACCGACATCATGGGGCACAAAGACGATTGTTCACGGTGGGACAAAAAGTGCTTGCTATGGACTATCGTGGGAAACATCCTACATGGACAGCTGGTCGGATCTTGAAAAAGAAGGGGAGTGTGGTTTACGAGGTGTCAGTTGGCTCGGAAGTTTGGGTACGTCATGCTAACCAATTGAAAGCAACCTCGATAGCCAGCAACAAGATTCAATATCGATTACCTCTTGATGTTCTGCTAGACACCTTTGAAATCAAAACGCCGGGAATAGACACATCAGTTTCTGTGCAAGAAAAGAGTGATACTTCTTTATTGCCTAGACGATGGACTAATCGAAAGCACAGGCCAGTCACTCGGTTGCAGTTGGACCCTAGCACCAGATCCTACGAATCTGCTCAGAGGGGAGGTGTTAGCGGGACATAGACTAGATTAAAGCGTGCTCAATGCATGATTGTTTTGGTGCACGCTGATTGGCTGATTCTTATCCAATCAGCACTAGTCGATAGTCGGAGAATACTCTGGAATCTTCTTATGTAAAAACTATAAATATACCGACGTTTTCCCCTATTGTGCTTCTGATTTGCTATTTGGAATATAATCTTTTTCCTGTTCAACCGTGTTCTGATTTGGGGACTTGTCGAGTGAATCGGTGTCCGAGAATACTAAGCAATAGGAATAGCTGGGTCATTACCGTAAGAAGAAAAAGAGACCATAACAGACCTGGACGTGGTTGTATAGATCAGATATTCACACTACGTCAGGTTCTAGAACACAGACGCACGTTCAGACGCCTCACAATGTTAGTACTTCTCGACCTTAAGGCGGCATTCGACTCTGTTGATCGTAAGGTTCTATGGCAGTGTTTGTCACTGAAAGGAGTATCAAAGAAGTACATTAACCTTATAAAGGCTCTCTACTCGAACACAACTGGTAGAGTGAGAGCTTATGGCGAATTGTCATCAGAATTGATTGCCTCAAGTGGTGTTCGTCAGGGCTGTCCACTCTCCCCATTCTTGTTCAACTTTGTGGTCGACGTACTTTTAGAGATAACACTCTCCTCATCTAAATTTCCAGGGATTGAACTTCTACCGGGAGGTTCACTTGTTGACTTAGAATAAGCAGATGATATAGTTTTATTTGGTGAAGACGCTGACAAAATGCAGAGTCTTCTGACCACTCTAAGCAACAATGCAAGCATGTTCGGGATGCCATTCTCCCCCTCGAAATGCAAAATGTTGCTTCAGGATTGGGTTACATCAACACCCGAACTAGTGATAGGGAGTGAAGTAGTTGAGTGTGTCGACCGCTTCACTTATCTTGGAAGTCTCATCAGCCCTTGTGGTCTGGTGTGTGTCGAAATCTCAGCACGGATACAGAAGGCTCGACTAGCTTTTACCAACTTGCGTCATTTATGGCGTAGGCGAGATATCCGTCTATCAACCAAAGGACGTGTTTACTGCGCAGCAGTTCGTCCCGTCCTACTTTATGGCAGTGAAACATGGCCGGTAAGAGTAGAGGATATTCGTAGGTTACTAGTATTCGATCATAGGTGTCTTCGAAACATTGCTCGTATATCCCGGGACCATCGAGTAAGTAACACAGTTGTTAGGAAACGGGTACTAAGTAAGGATGGCAAATCAATTGATGACGTAGTGAAACTTCATCAGTTGAGATGGCTGGGACACGTGCTACGTATGCCCAACGACCGACTACCTCGACGTGCTATGTTCAGTGGTATAGGAGTAGGTTGGAAGAAAGCTAGGGGCGGCCAAACCAAAACATGGCACAATTCCATGAAGTCACTGACAAGTGGACTGAGTCATGTTGGTAGGTGTAGACTACCTGGTTGGGGACGGCGAGATGATAGCAACCGATGGTTAGAGACCCTGAACGACATGGCTCAAAATCGTTTGCAATGGTGCAGGTGCATACACTCTTTGTGTTCTCTCAAATTTTAATCTCCTGATTCCTCCTTGTCTCTTTCTTTTCTCTTCCCAAATTTATCTCACTGTATTATACTCTTTAAACAACATCTCCACACCCTAATCTCGATTACTGTTTATACTCTTGCTACCTCTACCACTACGGGATTTGGATCGACAACTGCATCTCTGTGCTAATGTGGTGTGGCAACTCGAACTGATTTACGTACGTACGTACGAAGTTCTACGTTGTTACTGACTGACTGACTTTTCACCTACAGACTGTGATGTTGACAGAGAATTTTCACTTACAACTGATGAGGCACCAGCTAGATCGTTTTTGTAATCTCCTTTTTTTAAACAAATGGGGTTGGGAAAGGACTACTTCGTTCGATTATTGTAAAACAACTATGTATTACCTAACTAAATAAGTCTAAACAGAGTAGTCAAACAAAAACACTGAACAACCAATAATGAACCTAAAGGGATTATCCTTGAAATTAAACGAGCTAAGCAAACATCAAGTTGAAAATTGTCTTCATAACATGCAACCATTTCAGTGAAATACCACGCGCCCTACATTTAATAGGTAAAGCATGTCACCAACAATTTGTAGTGGTATGTGGTAAAAATTCATGAGTGCACTTCAATTATTAACAAACAATAAGGTCGTGACTAGATACGAATGAACGATTTTTGAGACTTGTTGCGGAAGCTGACCTATGGCTTTTATTTGTAGTTTTAGTAGACGTATTCGGACTTTATTTAGATCAGAAGCAAATTATGTAAGGGACTTAAATCCTAAGATAATGGTCACAATTTAGATCACTTATCAGACAGTTCACGTTTGACAAGTGCTGATTACAACTGTCCCATATAAATAATGACCGGGAAAAAAGAATACTTCCACCTATTAGACGGTTTGCTTTTATTGAATTTATCGACATAGATGCATTAAGTCACAAACTATCCTAAAAGATTGACAACCAAAACTAGACGGTTCTCACGATGCAACTAAAAATCCGGTTTAATGATTGTGAAGTTAAATACCAAACTGAGGATGATCTTTGATAATTGATGTAATTATTAACAATAGAACACAGAATGAACCAGAATGCGCAAGAACTTAAACATACCTTGCACCGGTTTTAGATTCCGCGCTTAGACCAGTTCCTTTACACTTTCTTCTTGCGATCCTTATGAAAAGTGGTTTATTATAACAACTACGGTAACCGTTTAATTCCTACTTTGATGGCATTAAATTCATTAACTCAGCTAAAAATATTGTTCAGTTGAAATTATAATTTCATTTGTCTGGGTTTGAGAATATATATATATATTTGCTGGTGACAGTACATTCAATCTTTAGTCCTCACTAATAAAGATGGCAAATAGACAGATTCATTTTAATATTTTTAGTTTGTTTTCAGTCACACATCCGCAACAGGCCACGAGTGTGTATGGCATGCTGCGCATCCCTTCCAACTACTAAGCAACATAGATCAGACGTTTCTCAACATATCGATGACTTTCCAAATATATATTCTAACTCCTGCATTTCATACATCTGATTTGACTGGGTTGTGATACTTCGATTATAAAGGTGTTACGTGTAAAAGCGTTGTCATTCTCCGAACGACTGACGCATCCTTAGTGATGAGACCGACTCGATAAACCGGCAGTCTGTTCCTTGTTTTAACATTGTATACCACTTTGCTATTTTTATCTATTTTTCGTACCGTAGTATTACTTTGGTATTTTCGATTCTGCGACGGAGAAGCTGACTTCCACCGGCACGACGTGATATGTTGGTGTCCCCCTATTTCTCGCAGTAGTGAAGGCACTAATGCGCAACAGAAATATTGCTATGTATGTAAGGAACCTTTGCCGATGTCCTTTTCGACAGCTCTTCTTACTAAAGCTTCCCCAATAGGTGCAGACGGTTCCTGTCTCATCGAAAAATAACTCCGTAAAAGAACTGGCTGCATATGCTGACTCGATTCTGAAGATCATCAGAAGTCCCGGCTTCGAAATTTAGTCTTCCGAACGAAATTAATAAACGACACGATATGATAACACAGATCTTATTACTATTATCATTCGTTACCTCATTATCCTTCATAACTACAGACCCTTCAAAACTCCTCGAAGGAGCTCGTCACAAAACTGTCTGTCTTTAGACCATGAGTGAGATAATTTTGAACAATGCCTGTACCACAATAAGTATGGCCAGCTTTCTAGGAATCTCGGAAAACATTGTAGTTTCCCAACCTCCAAGCCGTCTGGCACGGAAAACCTTACGGGAAACTTCCCCATCAGCAACTGTAGCCTGAAGATATAGCCGTCAGGCGACCACGCGATGATGATAGTTCGCCATCTCACCGACAGTGGCGCAGAAGTTAGCATTGATTTCACGAAGTCCGACGACTGTCTGTATGAGTCGGTCTTTAACTTACAGACGGCAGTCGAAAAACCCAGTGACACGTGTAGTTATTGATATTCTTATATTAGCGTGGGTTCATTCAAATTCGTATATTGAATTTTCGTTGTTTCATGTGGTTCTATCCCAATCACTGATGTAGATATCCTACAACACCATAATCTAATCATCAGTCCTAGTAATCGAAGTTAAGTAGGCAGAAATACTAAATTATCTGTTTGTTATGTCCAGTCACTTTTAAGCGCACAAACTTTCCATACTCTCAACAGATACTTGACTAGTACCGCGGACTGTAACTGACACTACCTAAATAACTAATAGTGATCAGCAATGCTACTCACCACATCACGGCTACAGGACCATTTTTACTTTCAAAATAACTTCGACCAGCTCATGAAGTGCTAAGGTCGGCCAAAAAAGAATTTGGCTATATGATAGACTTGGTAGTTATTCGAACATTGAACAGCCCATGTGCATCTCCCTTGCACAAGTCTTCATAAAATACATCAAACATTGACGTACAATTGAT